TCCCTGCATTGCACAAAACAACTGACTTTCAAATGTTAGGATTACTATTAGGATTCCAATAAAATCTAGATTATATGGTGGTCTGGCAGTACTGCTGTCTCACAGCTCCCTGGACTTGCGTGCTATTCTGGGTTCCTTCTGTGTGAAATTTGCATGTCTTCTCTGTGTTCATATGGGTTTCTTTCTCTCTCTGTATACTGTCTATGTGATCTGTGATGGGCAGGTGTACTCCTGCCTTGTGCTCTGTGCTCCTGGAGTGAGCTCCTGGTTTCTATGCCTCCTGTCAAGAATTAATAAAAAATGTAAGAAAGGAATGGAGGGACGAGTTTTCCTGTGGAGAAACAAATTTGGAGCAATTTAAGATTATTACTGCTTTTTCAGTCACCATGTATGATTAGTTCAGTCTGTGCACATTAGCTACAGCATGTAACAACACACTCCTTTTTAGAACGTAATAAATATTACTGCATCATATAAACATGACTCTAAACACACAGCTTTTAGACAAAAAAAATGTTAATTACACTGTAACGCCAAAAGTACAAAGAAATATGTACATCTAAAATAATATAATTATAAGAAACATACAGTAAGTTTTTCACTTAAAAGTTTTAAAAATAAGTTGTTCTATAAAAATCTGTGTAGATCATTTGAGAATAACTGTAATTCTGTTTTGTATTTCACTTTATTTATGCTTTTCCATACAATGAGATTAAAACCAGAAATTTTCATTTTACATTTTAAACTAAATTTGTGAAAAACATAGTGAGATTTCTCAAACTATATATGCAACACTAATATGTCAATGGTTGATTACAATGTGAGATTTGGCTCAACTTTATGTATGCAGCAGAAATAGGAATTATAACACTATATGCATTTTTTATATAATTTAATTGTTGTGATTTCCAGATGCACTGGTTTTACGATAATCTTTTCACCATTCTAATAAATGAGTACTTTAAAGACCTCTCCTTCACTTTTGAAGGAAATAAGAAAAAAATCACTGCAAAGGATTGTATCAGAATGACAAGAAATTAAAATTAATATTAATCTGTAGCAAAAAATAAACCTGTTTAATGCTAAGAAGTCCCCGTGGACACAGAAGTTAAGATAGGTTGGAAAGGATAGGGGTGCTCTTTTCTCGCTTTGACACATCCTTAATTAAGTTCCTGGTTTTCTACAGAAACCAGCTCAGAAGGCTCTACATCCTAGATGCAACCATTGCTGTTAATTTTTAATGAAAATTTTGTTATGTAATTAACTGAATCATCATTTGCATACATGTTAATTATCTTAATCCCACTTGGATTAGTAAAGTGGGACACTGTGTTCTCATTAGATGACCTAAATTTCCTACTTGTTACTCTAAATTTCATCAAAGTTTAGTCAGGGTCTGATAATTCCTTTTAAGTTAACAGGGAGAGTCTAATTAATTAAGTCTAAATAAGAGAACTTAAATACATGTTATTCCTAATTACATAATGAGAGCAACCTCCAATATCTTTCGACTTTGATTTGGAGTTAATTATGGAAATGCATTTGTCAGTTAATTTAAACTTAATTTACATAAATACTAATGAACCAAAATAATAGTTTTATTCACAAGGTTATACTCCACAGCTACAGTCTCTATTTTCTACTTTTATTTTGGCTCCCAGTTGGATTATTGTTTTAACCAAGGGAAATGTATGTATAATATGTTTCTTGCTAAAACATAATACAGCATATATACAGTATGTATTATTTATATGTACAAAGTACATTTGGGTAATTAAAAGAATCCAAATTTACAGTTACCTAGAAGATTTCGACACAGTACACAATTATACAAATTAAAGTCTACCGCTCCATATTATATCATAAATAAAGTCATTCAATGATGAATAAGATTCTATAAGTTTCTGACTTGTTATTTAAAAACCTTAACCTGGTATGTACTGGGTGTTCTTTAAAGGTTTAGCCTATTTACTTTGGAAAACTGTTATATTTGTGTAAAAGTTCATTTTAGACAATGCATGTTTTTTTCCACTAAAGAAAGCCAAATTAACTTCTTATATGGGTTCACACATTACATTTACTCCATCTGTTTTTTTCTCTGCAAAGATTTAAATAAGTGGCATTGTATGTTTTAATCCTAGGATAAAGTAACAATTCTTGACAATTGAAATGTCAAAAAAAGGAGTTGGTGGGACATGACAGTTCCACGTTCTAGTGAAAGGATGGGAGTTTATGTTCCCAGGGGAAAAGACAGCAAATTTGTTTTTAGCCCCTAGCTCTGTAGGATAATATGAGTGATGTCAACGCTGAAAATGACTTTTGGACATACTAGAAAGCAGTTTGTGTGAGAAAGAAATGCTCATCGCAAATTCTGAAAGCATGCTATCATTAGCACTTCAAATTATATATGGAAACTAGGTCCATGGATTTCTGAAACGGGATTGAAACAGGTACATTTTTAACTGCATCCAAATCATATGTGACCTAAACAGCAAGGGTATTCAGAACCAATGTTTCTCATAATCCATTCTTCCTTCCATATCCCAATTCACAAACCATTTTAATTCAGAACCAAATTAATGTGGCAGTGAAGGCTGTGGCCTGACAACGTTTGAGTGCCAAGTGCAAACTCTGATAAGGGTGTTTTATGTTTTGAGTCTGTGAACTACCAGTGTCCTTGTGGTTCTCTAGGTGCTCCCTTTTTTTCCCCACTCAGCTGTTCTAAACGTGGGGTGCACATACTTCTGTGACTCCTGAACCAATTTAGAATCATATAAACACAAAAAAAACCATGATCACTACATATCGAGAGTACAACTACATACAATAATTAAGCAAATACATGACATTTTCTAAATGCATTTTCAAAACTAAATTAAACTACCTTATTTGCTGCATTCATTCTTTACCTGGCAGTCAGATTGATGTATGGCTCAGTGACTGTGACACAAGCTCAGTGAGGCTGGATTCTGTGCTTGAGACAGCCATTCAAAGGGACCCTTCTATGTTGAGATGAATACAATTTTGCCTGTTGCTTTTACTCTTTGAAAGCGATGAAAGCAGATGCTTTGTTATCTGTACGATGAAAGGAACATTGAATTATTAATCTTTGAAATGATTCCAGTAATAATTATGAGATTATTGGAATTTTACAAATTTGCCAATGTTGATGGCTTTGCTATGACAAAATGAATGCCAATACACTAGAATACATGTCTTCAATTCCACAGACTCACATCACCACATTCTGAGCAGATTTCTTTCATTTCCACCCTCTGGAGTATTCCTCAGAAGCAAAGGTTGTCATTTTTTAAAATCACTGTCTTGCACAATCTTATTTGTTCAGTTCATCCAGCAATAGTAGATCTGCATTGGAGTTGCATCATCTACATCAGGGTATGGCCTCTGCAAATTTGGGAAAAAAATACTATGTCTCCTTTGTACCTGGCATCTTCATATTGCATCATTAGCAACGAGCACAAGGCAGGGTACACCCTGGACAGGGCGCCAGTCCATCACAGGGCCAGTGCAAGCCACTCATACATGGGGACAATTTGGAGGTCTCTGCAAAGACCGAGGGGGGTATATTTGGCCCAGACACCAGGATAACCCTACTCTTATCGAGAAATGCCCTGGGATCTTTAATGACCACTGAGAGTCAGGACCTCAGTTTAATGTTTCATCCGAAGGCCGGCGCCCACTACAGTATAGTGTCCCCGCCAGTATACCAGGGCACTAGGACACACACAGACCACAGGGTGGGCGCCCCCCGCTGGACCCACTAACACCACTTCCAGCAGCAACTTAACAACGATTTTTGGGAAAGAAAATAATGTTGACAATGGTGGGCAAAAAATACTGGATATATACTGCATCAATCATCTCATGATCATATCAAATTTGCTAAGATCCAGCCTAATGGTTTTGAATGAATGTTGGGGAAAACAAACAGACCATTTGGTGGAATCATAGGAGGGATAACATGTAATTACATTAATTGCTCTGGGAAAGGGTTTGGTCAAAGTAGACATTATAACTAGCATTTGTACTTCAAACTGTTTTAAATTGACAATAACGAGATGATAACAACTTGGTAGTTAATATCTGCACATCTGTCTATATATAGTATGTCTGCATGTCGATCTATGTCTGGCCATTAAGTGTAACTTTAAATGACAGGGCAGTGTCCCTTAACATACAAATTGTGTTTTAGGACATCAGCAGAAGAGTCCGCAGCACTGCTGTTGTCCACACATTATTCTTTTCAACAACAAAGGCAAGAAGATTGGAGAAACTTATTTTTTTTACTTAAAAACGACTATATCAAGGTACAATTTATGTTTATAACGAATCAAACGGAATATATAAGAATAATAAATTAAAACGTTTTACTGTTGATATTTGGAGTTTGAGGTCCGATTATTATTCGGTTATGGGTAGATGACGACACTGTTCTCGAAACTCTTTAAAAAAAAAGAGAAGCGAGACATACGTATTTAAAAGGTCACCTTCAAAATTAAACTAACAGTCTACTATTTAGCACTGTAGGTACTTTAAATCTAGGTTTGGTTTATTAAACGGGACAGCGCACAGCTCTTAAACTGCGCCAGTCAGCTAACAAGCTCATTTACATCTGATGCTGAGCATGACACAACCGACAAAATATGAGACAGACATAAAACATATCAAGAAATTTCATATGATAAGCAGATATTAAAAATAGAAAGAGAATAGTAACAACTCAGATCATAAATAAAAAGTGAAAGGTCAATGGCATGATGTTAGACATTATTTTGTTTGTTTTTGACGTTTTGTACGCATTTTACACATGTTATAGTAGATGTGTTGAGCGCTGTAAACGGGATATCGGCTCTATAGTTGTAATTTCTCACGTTTCCCAAGCTACAACGTGCAAATTCTGAAATGCATTGAAGGGCATGGGCTGTTGGTTTATGTAGTTCTTCTCGAGATTTGCCCCGCCTCTTCAGAGCGGTGCAGACTACATTTCCCATGAATCACTTCCCCCAAAGCACCTAGGGTTGGATTGTTCCTCTTAAGTAAGGTATAGCTTTGTAAAAGAAAGCCTTTTTAAGAGAATTGCGAAATGAGTTCCAGTGAGGATCATCAACACGGGACAAAAAGACCGGCGTCTCCGAACGAAGTACATTTTCTTTTTATGATTTAATAGACGGCATAAAGGTGGTTGTTGATGTTCAGGTCTAAGGCCTCTCTGACTAGTGTTTAAAAACACTCTGCCGACGACTGAGCTGGCTTGTAGTAGTACTTCATTGCTTTGAATTGTGTGTAGCAGTCTGTTGGTTTTGCAAATCATCCTGAATGTAGTTGCAGTGTTTTGAAAAAATGTTGTGTTAGCAATAAAAAGCTGCAGTAATGAGCAATAATGAAGGAAGCCTTTTGCTTTCTCTGAAAGAGCTACGTTTATTACCCGAGGTCTGCATTAGAGCAGTATTTATGTTTGATTGTCTTACAGTTATCTTGAATTATCTGCAGTTATTTTGAACAAAAATCTACTGAACCCCTCTATTTTGGTGCTCTAGCTAAGACAATAAAGGATGTGCGTTTGTTTATGATTTCACGCGTTTTTCTTCGGCTTCCTGCACCTTGATCGGATTGATCATTTATAAAATGCTTTTAAATCGGAGAAAATGTAATAACATAATAACGTAACTTTACTAACTTCATAAATTAAATCTTATTGTCAAAAAATGTTCGTTTTCATGCAGCAAATACAATATTCTCGTTTATTGCTTTAAGTTATTTTGTTTCTTGACAATTCATTATTTCAGTTAGAAAGTTGAGTAGAACTTTCTCTAAAAAATAAATATAGGTTATCGGAAACGCATTGCGAGGGATCATAGCCGCAAAATGTAGGTGCATGTTTGTTTTGTAATAAAACGGCTTTAGTATTGAGTTTGCTAAAGACAGCGTGGCTTAATGTAGTGACGTCAAGATGCTCACACGTAATGAAAGAGGATTTTAAAAATAACGATACCATGAAGTCATTTTCATACGTGATTTAAAACATGTCCCCTAATTCACGACTCTTAGTGCGATCTATGACAAAGTGAAAGTTGGCCGACCTTCCTCTTGAAACTCTCTCTCTCTGCAGCACGGGTCCAGCAGCTGGGATTCGGTGGATTTAGGTACCGACGAGCGGAAACAGAAGTTTTTGAGACTAATGGGAGCAGGAAAGGTAAGCTTGTGCTTCCCCGTTACAGCAAAGTTGCGGCTGTTTCAGTCCCTGGCACCTCAAGCTACACTACAGGCACCCCAGTAAACGAAACGGTATAAAACAAATGTAGCGGATGCAAACACAAGAAAGGGTAAATGGATGACTAGCTGGAACAAATGTGCTCATCAATGTTTCATTGAAGCTTTAGCAGACACAGTGAGAAACTGTGGCTTGGCAGTTTTCACAGCCTTGAGAATGCATCCAGCGTTAATTTTCTTTGAAAAGAGCCTCTCAAGGCCCCTGAGCCCAGTGCATAACTGGGTCTACTGTGGATAAGCCTAAGGACAAACGCGTCAATTTTGTATACAGTAGCCTGCGGAACTGTAGGCATTGCAAATGTATACCATTTACAAAACTTGGAAGAGGAATGAGAACAAAGTGGATGAATAATGGTTTCCTGAAATTATTTTTAAAAACCTTTTCTGCCAGAAATATTTCCAGATAACACTGCGTATTCATGTCTGTTTGACTTCCAGTTGTAACGCTGCAGTATTGCATGCAGTCTCTCGCGCCATTAAGCAGTGTTAATGGCCGGCGTGGTATTGCAATACCTTGTCGATTTGACTTAAAATAAAAATTAAAGTAGGCTTTTTTTTTTTTTTTTTTTTTTAGGCTGTGGGAGAAACTTCTAAATAAGCTCAGAGATGTAATTTTATGGCTGGCTTAGTGGTTTGCATTGCTCCCTTGCAGTGCTGGGACCCTAGGTTCAATTTGCTGGGGCGTTTTGTTCAGATGTCCTGGCTGTGTTCCCCGTGAGAGAACTGGCTCTGGTGTGAGTGTGCGCATGTCTGTCTGTCCGTGTGCACCCTGCGATGGACTGGCGTCCCATCCAGGGTGTATCCTGCCTTGGACCTACTGCTTGCTGGGATAGGCTCCACCGCAACCCTGAACTGGATAAAGCAGTTAGAAAATACATGGAAATAATTTTATTTGTTCTTGTAGTGAAAACAGGATATAAAATAACCCCCCACTGGTGGTCGAATTTCAATTCATCCCTCTTAGAGTTAGACAGGCACAAGGCTGACATGGTTCAGATCAGATCCGGATCTCTACAGATTGTCCGTCTTTAAAAGGGTAATGGTTTATTATCTTGTTTAGTTTTTCCTACAGTAGTGGTGACCAGGATTGAGTACTTTTTGTAACATGGACATAGTGCGGAGAAATAACTGCACTTTGTAGACTCCTTAGCCCAATAATGCATTGTTCGACCACGTCTCAGTATCATCACAAAACGAAAGCATATGATTTTGTGAAGTGCCAAAAGACAAAAGGGTAACTTGTTAAAATTATGTATTCTAGAAGGAGCACACAGGACGCATTGTTATCGGAGACCACAAATCAACTTCACATTTCAGAACAGGTAACAAAGGAAATTCCTACTTTAGTGTTCTATTCCAGCATTTTAAAGTAATCTTTAACAGCGCAGCCTCTGTTTTTTTTGTTTTTGTTTGTGGACAGTTGCTTTCACAGTACATGCAGTGGTTCATCGTAGACCTCATATATAATTCAATGCAAATCACTTATTAAAGAATATATATTGATGATGAAAGAGCATAAGATACTTTTTGAAAATCAAAGTAGCTTTTGTACAAGGGTTTATCCGCTTCAAGCGTTTGAAAGCTGTGTGCCTAAAATTGAAGGGAAAAGCAACCAAATCCCATCTCAGAAACTTAAGTTGTATTATATATATACACAAGGTATTTGAGAAGATACTTTGCTTGATGCTGTTGGTTAGTGTTAAGGTTAGCTTTTAATAGAATAAGAATTGTTTAGCGCTGATGACTGTCCTATAGGATTTAACATCAGTCCTGCATACACATTGCAAAAAAAACCCTGTATGAATTCTAGAATGGTACTTACATGATGTTTCAGATGATCAAATCTACCCATGTGAAAATTGGTATGTGAGAAGTGGCTGTGTGAAAATTAGTGACTTGACTGTTCAAGTTTGAGTACTGTAGCACTTTGAAGCCCAAACGACAAATGTGGCTGGAAGTGGGGCATCAAACAGTATCCTCTTCCCTAGTTTGAAGCAAAAGGTCCAGATGATTAATAGTGGCAGTCCCAGGTTGGTTGGGTCTAACATAACAAATAGGAATATATAAAAAAATTACAGTATGCAGGTTTCAGTCATTATGTGGTTGAAACTCTACATATGCTTGCCTGTGTTTTAGGTTTGTTGAATACTCAGGAAGTGGAGGTTGTTTCTATGGTCATGTTAAAGTGTTTTTATGTGCTTGTGTGCTTTTCTGTGTATTAACAGGGGAGGAGGATAAAAGAATGAATTCAGAGCTAGAACACCAGTATCAACAAGGCCTGGATGGAAAACTCTCAGGGAGGAATAAGAGGCATTGTGGCCTAGGCTTCAGTGAGGTAAATACTGCCTGTGTATCTTCACTTCTGACACTGACATGAATATTAAGCTTTGGTTTCATAATTATTCTCTATATGTGAACGTAGCTTAATTAATAACTATTCCCTTAATGTGAATACTCATTTTACTTATAGAACAAAATGAATTGTTTTGCTGAGGGAATATATTGCCGTTTGTTGTTGTTGTGGAGGTGTATTACACTTCTTAAGAAAACAGAAAGAGCCTTGACTCATCTTTCTAGTGAGGTTTCCTGTGGTATTTTAATTGGAAAATGTTTGTTATTCTTTATTTATAAGCGAACGTTGCAGTCTTTTTCAATACTCCCCAGCTGGAGCAGACCTTGTCAGGTCTCGTAAGCTAGGCACGGCTGGGGCAGGTCAACACAAGGATGGGAGACATCGAAGGAAAATGAAGTGGCTCATGTAAGCGGTGTTGGTGAACCAATATTCCTCTCCCAGCTCCATTTTGTAAGATTACAGATGTTTATTGGGGTCCTGACTAAATCCCACATTGGGCTCTCCATGTGTGACTTGCCTAAATTTCCCCTTCATTTAACTGAAGTAATTTCTCTCCTCTCCATCTGACCTGATGTGGAGTGGAGCTGCCACACATGGTGTTTGAATTACAGTTGAATTTGGCCCCCTCCATTATGTGAAGTGGGATGATAAGAGCTATGTGAGTGCAAGGGATTCTTCGTTGTGATTAAAAGCTCTGTTTCTTTCACCCCCGCTAGCCCGATTCGCCTGAAGAGACCCAGAGCACGGCAGAGTCAGAAAAACAGGGCAGTCCAAAGGGCTCTATAAATAAACCCGAATCAAAGGAAGAGACTTCATCAGAACAAGAGGAGCCCAGTAAACAGGACGATCACACAGAAGACTGTGCAGACAGCAAAAAGGAAGAGAAGAAGAGTGGTTATAAAATGACATTTGTGAAGGCTTCGTAACTGGTCACAAAATGCTGTGTCTTTTTAATTCGTTAAACTACTTTATACTATATACATGTTGTTTTCAGCACACCATTTCCCAGACATCTGTTGGAATTTCTTAGTTTGCAAATAAAAATCAAGTCATTTTCATTTTCAATACTGCTGGCCTGCGTCTTCAAGGTAATTACTCCCCTCTGTCCCCTAATTATTGAGTCTGCTGCATCAACAGGGGAACGAGGGGAGCATGTGTATATTTTTTTTAACTCTTTTCTGGAATATGCATACGAAGAACATTTTGTAAAGAATTAGTGTGCATGGCATTCATTACATGTAACAGAACAGGGATGAATTAGCATAATAGCTCCTTTTACATTCTCTTTGAAGTCCATAGAGGAGAATAACAAATGTATATGAACTACCAGCCAAACATCAATAAATGGAAATACCCAAAATCTCTGTGGATGGCCCTCAGTGGATTTATAAAGAAAATCCCCTCAATGTATTGGAATAACAGCAGAATAAGCAGAATAGTGGATGTGATTTTCAGTGACGTATGCCCTCCAGACTCTTTCATGCACAGGTCTCAAGTCATGCTTGTCTTCTAAGTTTCAATCTTTGACTTTCCTCAATGTGGTCCCATTGCCCTCTAGGGAAATAAAGTTTTAAGAATGTTTTATAAGTTCAATATATTATTTTTAATCTTAACATTGAACATTACTTTATAAGGATTAGGATTGGTCATTGGTTCATAGGAAAGAAAGCGGCATTTGTGTTCACTAAAAACATACCCTTTGGAGAAATCATCATTGAACTTCTGAGAGGTAGGGAGTCAACTCGGTTTTCTTGAAGCTAAACATAGAAATGCTATGTTTGAAGTTGAAGGTTCTGAGGACTGTCCATGGGTTTAGAACCAGGTTAAAACTGCATTTCACGCACAGTCCACTTCCATACTGTTATTTTGCATTTCATTTGAAGTGTGTTATTTTATATGCTTTTTATTGCCTTACAGATCTAGTAGGAGCAGTCGTCCATTTCCGTATATAAAGAATTCAGCTGGTGTATTTGATCCTTCCAGTATGGTGCAAGATGCACAGAAACTGAAATGACGGTCAGAGAAGTAACGTTCTTATAAAAAAACAAAAGCAAATTGCAGTACACGGGAAAGATCTCAAATGAAATTAGGTAGTTAGAATGAGGACTTCTTAAGAGAAATCATAGAACATATTGAGATATTTAATTAAAAATGGTAATGGAAACTAAATTACCCCCCCATTGTTTTTATAACCATTTCATCCAGGTTAAGGTCACCAGGGAGCCAGAGCCTATCCCAACAAGCAACGAGTGCAGTGCAGGGTACACCCTAGACAGGACGCCAGGCCATCGCTATCTGATAAGATTTTTCAAAAATAGTTCTAAATAAATGACATATTTGAACATGTAAATTGCTAAAAATAAATATGTAATTGGAAAATGTCAGAATGCCATCATCTATGTGATGAGAGCAATATCATTTACAGTTGTTAAAAACCACAAAAATAAGAAAAAAGGAAATTGCATGTTGTCCAACATGCACAAAACATTAAAAATACTACACCGATTCTTGAACTACAGGGGCCAATGCTGAAAGCACAAGATTTGCTATTTAGGTCAATACTACTTGTCTTCAGGTATATTAATGGATCTTGTTTATAGTGCACTAAAAACAGGAAAATGTGAAATAAAAATAATTTTACAAAGTGAAACAACTAGAGAGTAGCTGGTCTCTTTTTTTAAATAGACAGCAACCCCGAGCTTGCTACAGGGAAAGAGCCTGACATACTGTATGCAGCAGGTTTAAATAATGAGGTCTACCCTCTTACATCCAAGCTCTTTGAGGTCAGTGCTCATTGATATTTAGCCAACCTATAACATTCAAAATCCAGCTTTAAATGAAACATGCCTAGCATTTTATACTCGATAATAATCAAGATACCTGCAGAAACATTTTCTCACATTGGGTACATAAGCTCGATAATTAACCTTGGGCTTTGTTGAGGAGATGAGTTTAGACGTATGAATGAGGATAGTTTAATGACAATGGCTAAGAACACTGTACACGAAATCTATTTGTGTGATGACAATAATTGGGAAACAAAAAAACACAATAGCTTGGACATAAAGGTGACCTGTATTGTTCACCCCGTACCCTTTTGTGAATATTTGATGTTATGAACTAGTGTGAAGAAAAAAAAAATCATATTCTAGGTTGCCAATAGACCCACATGTACAAAGATTAATTATGATCCCTGCACAAATTCACAGCAGAGAATATTGTAGCAGTGTCAAATTAAAAATGCTCTTTAAAATGCAAAAGCTTTGAACTAAAGAAGTGTCTCAAGAAGTTTTTCCTTTATTGAAAGTTCACCTCTGTTGGCTGATTCAGCTAAAGTTAGAATCCTTTTTCAAATAATAGAATGAAATGTAAAGAGGTCAAAGCAATCAATAAGAGTGTTCAAACAGAATCTGAGGTGCTGTGATGTACGTACATTTTGTACTTTTCCTTTGTACTCCGTTACTATGAAGAAAAGGTTACTTCACCAGCCTTGCAAAGGAGAACCAAAAAGGCATTTTTTGAAAGTAAATTCTAGTTTGTCAACTTGATTTGACTAGTTACTCAAACTGAAATTGTGTATTCCGATTAGGATAAGTTTACCATAACTTCAAAATTAGAACTTTTTTTGTATTGTTGTTACGGAGTTCTCTTTCCATTTAATAAAATCAGAATTTCTAATTTGACTCGTGAAGACCTTTTCTATTTTAACAGTACATTTTTAAACATTTTAATAAATCTAAATAATGAGAAGAAACGCCTTTATCAGTTTGTTGTGTAACCATAGGTGCGCATTTTCCAGTTCCCATCTGGTTTCTTTTGACCATTTTCTGTATTTGAGTCCTGTTGTACACATACCTTTTGACAATCAGTCTTGTTTATAATGTTTATAAATACCAATAATGTTTATAATAAACACTATATGTACATACAGTATATACATGTGTATATTGCGTAGACTAGTCAGTTTGATTTTTATGTCTGTTGAATGTTGTATCCCAGTAAACTGCTATGACAATCTAAACTAAATAAAGGCATGAAGAGTATAACTATTTTAATTGTCAGATAAGCAGTCATAAGTGAGCAGTGTTACACAGGTGGGATAATAAGATTACCTTGATGTTCTCAATATGCTGTTCAAATCATAGTATAGTCTCAAAGTAATACCAAGGTTTCTAACTTCCATCAAATGTTTGATTCAGCTTTCAACATCAACAACACTGAAATAAGCACCTTTCTGAAGTGGATGTTAGGAGCACTTGAGAATAACCTCAGTCTGGTCATAGTGTAATAAAGTTCTTTTCCATCTTAATATCAGGCAGACAGCTGTAAAGTGTAGAAACTGCAGCAGTAGTATCTGATTTAAAAAAAACACACACATATACATTTAAAAGCAATCATGCACCAAAAGCAGTCCTTACGTATTACTTAAAATAAGTGTTATTTTCAAAGGTGGTGCCAGGTGCTGTGAACTAAATGTACTGGTGACTTTCAGAGATGAGACTTCCTCAGCAGTGACCTTGCCATCTTCCTCACACATACCATCTGCCAATGGCTTGAAGTTTTTGTAGATAGCTCTTACAATTTCCTATGCTTTTCATGAAAACAGAATGTGGGAAAAAAGACATTCATGGAGTAACTCATCCATTTCAGTTTAAGGCAACGTTTTAATACAATCTCTGTAATGTCAATTATATAGTGTCAAAATCCAAATATGTAGGCAAAAATAGTATGGTTAATATTTTAATATTTACACTAAAAATCACATTATAACCTTTTTTAAAAAAGTAATTTTTCCTGAAAATATTTACGTAAAGGTTATCAATATCAGTATTGTCAACATCAGAGGCAAAAATAAAATCCATTTGGCAAACTAACGAAGTTTATACTGGCAGTGCTGGATTAGATACAAAAATTAACTGATTTGGTAAGAGTATTATCTAAGTTATAGATAAAAATACAATCAGCATTTGATGCAAATAATTTCAGAACCTCTTTTCTGCTGTTGCAACTCTTTCAGTAATTAAAATACCAAGAAACACCTTTAAATTAAACTTTCCCTTCAATTCATACAACACTGCAAACACAGCAACTTGTTTTTTGTAAAAACCATACACATTCCAAGTCTTCATTGTGATACAGTATTAATAAAAGTGCAATAGCATGTACAAAATGTTTCCTAGTATAATATTAACATTGTTAAACACCCATAGTTAATATATTCACATCAGGCCTCACTGCAAAGTTTTGTTTACATTACAAAATACATTTCTTAAAACTAAAAATACTTTTAAAAAATGCATTAAATGTACCTCATGTACTGTAGCACTAATAGCTATGCAATTAAATAACTCACTTTGCAAAGTTTTTTATATATACTGTATATGGGGACACAAGTCTTCTGTCTTCCAGGATGCAGATTGTTCTGAGCCAGTCTGATACCACCTTAATGTTCGGTTGCTGCTTTGGCTGAATGATAAGAAATAACAGATCAAATTAATTTCATATTGACCTAAATTACCTAAAAGTGTTATCCGTTATAAACAAAAGGAAGACACCAGAAAAGAATATTAACTACAGACAGTTAGCCCCTTCTTTTTGGTATCGTTACTTAAACCTTAAAGACATGACTGTTTTAAGTACATTTTTGCTACATTAATTAGTATGCACCTCCCTTCAAAAACTGTCAAACAAATCTGAGAATTACTACTGTAAGGTGTTGTAACACGTCTGAAATGAGGCACCAAGAGCAACAACTCAAGAGATTGAGCCGACTGCCAATTTCCTCTCTGGAATTCCATCACGAGAATCCAAGGCTAACATCCAGAAACGTGTCAAAACAAAGAGCTTCAAATTGTAATTGTAAGTTTGGCTCAACCGACTGTGTATCACAACTGTAAAGCAATTATTGCAGTTTTTCCCTTTTTTCTCCTTCATGTATTGGTGCCCCTGTTGATAACCATGTGACAAGACCTTGCAAAATTGTAAATTCACCACTAGGTTTGCCTCAACCATCCCGAATGTGTCCCAAGGTTCAGAAAAACAACAAATTAACTGTATCGCTTCTGCATTTAATATCAGGCAACACTATTTTTGTTTTCAAAAAGAATGCCTTTGATTTAAAAAAAGATCTATAGCAATCAAAGCATTAACCCAAAAAACAGTTTTTCTGCAATAGTCAAATATATAGAAGAATTTCTGAAGATATGTTACATTTTTCAGGTCAGAAGTTGATAATGTCATATAATGTGAATGTTAAAGAATATCTATGCCTAGAATGAAAGTTATTGGAGTTATTGTAGCTATAGCAGGACATATCTAAGTTAAAAGATCTGTGTCAGATGTTATAAACTTGTATCTTACTCTATTTACAGTTCTAAATATCATTCACAACAATCTTGTGTTACGTGAAGTTGTTTAAGACTAATTTTCTGGAGGGTTAATCTCAGGTTTTTATTTAATAATAAATTAAGTAGAAGGAAATAAGATAAGAGTTTAAGATAAAGTTCTGCAAAAGATAAATAAATAAAAGAATATAAATCGTTCTCACTGTTGCCTTTAATTGCACACTAAACTAGCATTAAGACTCTTTAAGTATGAAACCATATTCAGACACTACTCATGTCATTCCTTACGGCAAAAGTCAAACATTGACAAAATAATCAACCTATAGGGTTCTCTCCTTTCACCCTTTCGACCAAAAGAAGAGTTTTCTAAGTGCTGTTGAAAATTGTGGTGCAATGTTAACTACAATTAGTACTAGTACTAGGCAGTGTTAATGCTAACTGCAAGATCATTTAACCAGTCACAAATGACATCAGTCTTGGCAACTATTAAAACACCCTAGGTTAAACACAGAGGACAAGATGCAACATTAAACAGTGAGAATGGGTTTGAAGATGATGTCTGCAGGAAGGAAAATGCCAGCATTATTTAAATTAATCAGAATATAGACATGAATAGAACATGCTTGAACATCTACCTAAAAATGTTTAACTTAATAAAATACACCTTTTCTGGGGGTGGGGAGTATTGTTTTAGATGCTTTAGAAAATCAAAACACAAAGTTTCACGTTATGATATATTTATGTCAAAAACACTGGATTAAACACCATATTTAATATTTGAAAACAATATAAATTATATTGCCACCATGGTCCTTAGGTTGGAATTTTAAACAAATTATAAAGTATGTCCATAGATAAGATGAGATGAAATAGTGGAGTTAATGGAAATGACATGTAAGTTCAGAAGCCTTTCTATGTGCGTTTACATTTAGGTACATATAAATGGAGGTTATACAGTTAAAGAAAACGTATGGTAGCCTGAACAAGACCTATAAAAAAAAGGAAAATCAAGGATGAGACATGGCCATTCTTTTTCAACTGTGTTAAAGCTTTTATGATATTTTTATAAAGATTAGATAACCCACTTTTATAGACTACTGTAAGAGCACAAGAACTTCCTCAAGACAGTTCTTGAGATCTGCCAGTGAATCTGCATTCAAAAGTGTCACAACAGGCAAATGACCAATAATATAATGGCACACAGTTCGGGTGAAATGACTGTTTAATCAGGCAGTCGTTAAAAAGTGTTGGTCAGTTTGATCCAGAGATTCCACACAAAACTGTTCTCACAATATTATATGATGTGGTTGGGTTGTTTCTCTTGAATGCTGTTTTAGGTTTTAAATTTAATTTGTGTGCTGCTTTCATAGTGCATTTTTCCTGTAATAACATATATACTAAGGGACTATTATGAAAATTACATTATAAAAGCATCCTTCTTGTTACAGGTTACAGATGGCATATAATTGGTATTCTGTTCTGCAGCTGCTTTATCTGTTTTATCATCAAGGTGTGGAAACAAGGGGGTACCACACTTTAGTAATTAGACACAATGATCAAATGCAGCATTTGTCAATAGTTTTTATATATTTTTTTAAGCAGATCTGAATTATGCTTTGCTGGCACAATTAGAAAACCAATTTGCACACAATTCGCACTGCCTGGTTAACTCGGGGGTTGCAAATGTAGATGCTAATGATAAAATGTAATCACTTTGCTCAAATTATGCTTCCAGATTAGCGTTGTAAAATTACAATTGTCTAATGAACATGCTTGCAGTGAAGTGTTAAGTGCAAACCTGATGTTATAACAATTAGCAAAGCTCAAAGCAAATTAACCGTGTTAAATAAGCAGTTAGTTCTTACTTTTTTCTTATTAGACAAATGTGTAGTGAAATCCATTGCTTAAGGGGGAATAAGATGCTTGTGCAACAGAAGGAGTGCATACATAGGGTTCGTACAGCTGCTGTTGAGCTAGAAGGGATCACACACAGGGACAAAGCGACATCAGTTAGATTACGTGGAATAAACAGACATCCACAGGGTAAAACTCTCATTAACAGTGAGGAACTCTGCTGCTACAGCACAGACAACAGAAAACACACTCTGGTATCACAGTAATACTGTAAGTTAACAAAACGCAAAGGAAGGAGTTTCATTTCAAGAAATGACACATCAATGTCTCTTTTTACAAAAACCTACTGAATTGCATAAAGGGATATTCCTAAACAAAAACGTTGGCTGCAACCTTCAAGAAACTTAAATGGGTGCTTGTCTTACATATTCTGTGAGAAGGCTGTATTGATTGACTCTACAGTGTGATGAAGTATAGTTCTTAAATCCAACCAAGTCTAATAGTATATACTGTATCAAGATGTTGGAATTCTTAAAACTAACTGGCTTCAAAGACTGGCATTTTCTGTCATCTTCTCAAAGAGAATAAAACCCAGAGCTCATGCATCTCTTTCATGTGGATAAATATTAATTCATTAGCTCATAACATTTTAATTGTTAATCACAACATAGCTTTACAAAAGCACTACAAATGCAGATTTTCCAAACAATATGTCTCAATGACTAAGATTAAAAAGTAAAAAAGTTTTACTTGTCGGTTTATTATAATGTATAAATATACAGTACAGTTCTTCCCCACTCCTTTGTGCTATTTTTAAAAAAGTTTAATGGGAATCTATAGCACACGAAAGCTACACAAATGCAGAACAGACTGGTTAATTGATAAGTCACCACACTGAACATCCTGAAAAGACATAAATCAATGGTAGGGCTTGCATGGAGTCTCAGAGCTGTCCAGTGAAGGTTTGAGATGAGTTTAATTGTCGAAAAAGGCCATTTCCAAAAAACACTGAACGAGACACACAAGGTGTATTTCCTCCAGAGCCCCGAATTACAACAGTGTTGCGGAGGATTTTATCGTCTGAGTCCAGTCATGGACACTATACATTATTATCATGAATGTGGGTTTGAGTGACCATTACACAAATTGCTACCTCTTATGGCCCAGTCGCTATTCCTGATAATGTTACCCCCACCTTTTAGCTTTTCCTGAGACGTCATACCACAGTAGATGTTTGTTTAAAATTCACTCAGGCCAGCCCTGCCCTGTCATATTTCTGCAATGAACAACCTCAACTTTCTAAAATGTTCCTACAAAACAAATTAATGAAACACAAACATCACTGAGGAAACTGATCCGATTTTCAAGAAGGCACCGTTTTCTGTCACGATTCCAAACCACATTACGGACAAGAAGGGAAATGATTGGATTAACACCAGAAACACATTTTTAAAGAATCAGAAAACCATTCACAAATGGAATAAAAATGTGTAATGAAAACAGAACACACAAAAGATATTTCTGGGATTAAAACCCAAAGATAAAAGTTTCAACATCACACTGGTCAATTAATGTTTTGTTTTTGTTGTTAGTGACCTTCGTAGTTTTACTCTGTGTTTATGTCATTGTTTGACTTGGGGTAAATATTAATGTTTCAAAAGACAAGTACTACTGTTTGGAGTATAGTTCTGTTTTTCTTACTAAAGGTAGAATCCAGGTCTAAGGTCTAAGTGCGTTTCTTACCTGCTACCTGCTTGCTCCTCTGTGAGGCTTCTGAAGCTAGTGCATATGACATAGTTATGATTCTCTCTTGTTCTTGCAGCGCAGAGTCCAGGTCTGTGAAGTCAGGTTTGTCCACTGTAATGGCTGGTTGTACATTCTGCACGCTGAAACACAGATGGGATAGGTGTCTTCTTCTCTTCAGAGTCTAGTCTGTACATCTAACATTATACTCATTTCTCCAAAGCTTTAATCATGTTACCTAGATCATTCTGATATGTGCTCCACAGTTACCAGACAAAATCAAGTCTGAGTAGATGGGTTGGAAGTGGATAAAGAAATATCCTGGGATAAATCAGAAGTCTCACAAATACTAAACTGGAAAAAAAGTAAAGCTTTTACCAGGTATTTAAGTATTAATGAGTAGGAAAAGTGATTAATTTGCATTTTTGAATGTTTTAAAACCTAATTAGGCTTAACAGCCTAAACTCTGTAAACCTTACTATCAAAATTTTAAAAAACAATCAACAGAAGAAAGTCATTTTTCCAACCAAACATCAAGCTTGATTGCATTCTTCCTTTATTTTAAATAAGGAAATAAGAAATTATATTCAAATAAAATGAATATCAGACATTGCTTTGAGAGGGAATTCGTTTTCATGTATCACTTATATGGAAATGGAGCCAAAAATTCTGGAATGGCCGTCATTTCTATTTTGGGAGGTGTCAAATCGTCCCAGTAGACAAGGTTGTCTGTGATGAATTACCTCGATTTGGCAAGGATGCTTTTGATTCTTTCTACTTTGCGATGACGAGCTTCCATCTCCTGAATGCTAAGAGGCTCCTCCGGCTCCGTTTCCACGTAGCGTTCCGGAATGGGAACTTTCTCAGGCTTTGATAACTGTGATCAGACAATGAACAGCTCTTCAAGATGGACTTCACCGGGAAATACCAAGAACACAAGGTTATCTTTACTGCTATGACATCAGACATTGTTTAAAGAAAATACGGCCTCGGGTGAGAATCTTCAACTTAGTCACACACAAAGATAAAATGTGTTCGGCGGCAAGCACTGGGGAGTTGAGTGAGACCTCCAAGTTAAAAAGAAGCTTCATCCTCACTGATGATTACAGAAATTCAAATGGTGTAGAAATGACAAAAATGCCAATCAGAATCTTTAAAAAGAAACTCCTAGCGTTATGAAGGTCATTAAAAAGTAGATTCAAGTTTTATGAAGGTCATTCAAATGTATATTAATTTTGGAACGTAAATAGGTAAATACTAAATTATTCAGTTTTACATCTAAAAATGCCACAATTAAAATACATTTTAAAAATACTCTAAATCTATTAAGGGAATGCAACTTGCATATTTTGAACCAGTGCTGGGGAACATGTTTAAGTCTCTAATAATTAAGAACAAATGTCAGTACAAATCAGGAACAGTTAAGTCCTGTTTCCACATAAAATCAGAAACAGATCAGAAGTCCTTGCTCGGTCATCATTTCCAGCCTTTCAGTCTCTGTTTTACACATCACTTACTTCATGTTTTATAATCATACATTTTATTTCGAAGTGATTTTAAAAATGTGCTAAAAAAAGTACATAAGTAAAAAATCACAGTAAAATAACCGAATAAAATTGAGAATAAAATGAAATTATAGATCAAAAGTTTATGGTCTATATTTAAAGTTTATAAAAATTATAAATCAAAAGGCATGTTTTTAGCTAATTTAAAAAAGGTTTGTAGCTGCAAAGTGGGCAATGAGTTCCAGAATAAGATGAAGAAGCAGATCTCAGATTATATGTCGGACTTTATTCCTGAAATAAATCTTTAAACTACCCTGATAATTGACAGCTCCGTGTCTTACATACAGTCTAACTTCAAAATCCTGTCTAAATTTCACATGGAGCCAAGGCAATTTACACAGGACAGGAGTTGTATGCAGATCAATTCATGTTTATTCCTTATACATTTTTGCATTTTACATATTTCCCCAAGAAGAAAAGTAAATGTACTCTACAAGCAGAAAAGTATTACATTGTTAGCCTGTAAACACATGCAGTTTGCCTTGTTCATGAAGCCCTGTCCCCAACTCAGCAGATGGACTTACTTTCATTAAGAGAAAGTAAAACATGGCAAAGTTGCCCAACTAAGAAACACTTTGCGCCCAGAGATAAAGAGAAAGGCCCTCTGTTTTCCCCTTCAGTCTTTACCTCTCGGCTGATATCTAAATCATAGTCCTGCGGTTCCAAGTCCAGCTCCTTCATTGGCACAGCGTGAACAGTGAGCCACTCTTCCTCCTGCTCTCTCGTGCGCTCCTCCTCCTCCTCCTTCTTCTTGGCGTCGTTGTCATCGCCGCCGCCGCCGCCCCACGCAGCTCGCTCCAGGAGCTGTAAATCAAACTCCTGCTCTCGCTTCCACTGACAGGCAAACAGATACACCGGCATGTTAATCTCCTGAACGGCACCGCGCTAGCGTTGAAGCTCAAACAGACAGCACGGACACTTGTATCATCTCACATCGCCACTGGACAGCTGCCTATTTCCAACGACACATTTTTACATAATGTTTTCTTGCATTATTGTGGGATTATAGCCCAGACGGGCTCATAAAACAGCATTCTGAGAATGGGTGATGACCACAGAAGTCGTCACCTGCCCGAACGTGACTATTTCAGAAATTAAACTTGGTACACCTGGCTTGATCCTAACCCAGCGGCAAGAAGCACTTTGCCAGTTGGACTAACAGATCTAAGAGTCCTACTGATAGGGGTCTAGCCTGACTTGCCATTGGTCCTCGTGTGGTTATTCCCTTTTAAGAACAGGATCAATCCAAGTTAACTAACGCCAGTGCCAACACTAGATGTGTCTGCACTGCGGCAATATTTGACAGGTCGAGATTCTGTTGTCAATTCTGCACTGCCTTTTGCTCCTTTACTGAGCCTCCCACTTATTATATACTGTTTTGCATAAAAAGGTATTTTAAAAAAATAATAAAAAATGAAAGGTTCTGAAAGTCTACTGTCATGTATTCCGTATACTTTAGGTGTGCAAGATGACTGTGATAGATTTACAAAGGAGCTCGATCCAGAAGCTTGCAAGGCAATTGTGTAAATTGCAATCCTATAAATTGAAGTCAGCTGATTAAATCCTGACTCGGCAATGCTATGCACTGAAAAATAATGTTGCTGGTCAGAAAATACCTTTTCCATTTTGTACGCAATGCATTCACACTATTCCCCATTGCCTCAACACTCAGTGTTGTATTCTCACTGTATATTTAATGGCAAAAGTAGCAGAAACAGGAAAGATCCAGAAAACTGAAGACAACCTTAAAACTGTAACAACTATATCTAAATATTAGATCTAAACCACCAATTCTGAATCAAAATGTGGATTCATAGTGAGCACCTTGGTGTACATTTTACTGACATTCCATTTCCCAGGTAGAGTGACAAATGTTTGTGACATTTTGATTCATCCTCTATTAGATACTGTCTAGATGCCTAAGAAGCATGGTCTCATCATTCATTTTCCACTTTGGGTTCATTTCATTCAGCTTAATACTGAAGGGTCTCAGGGCAAGGAATTTACCAGTATGTCTGTTGCCTTAAGAAACAGATACTTTGCTACTAGGTAACTTCATAGGATCATGGTCACCAACTGTGTGTGGAAAATACACATGTTCTTCAGTTTTCATATTATTCACAGATGCAAACATAGGGATGATCTCATTAGTTATACCACCCCATGCACTTTTGATATTTACTGAGCATTAAAAGAAACTTTAATTCTATGCATGTTTTTATAAAAATCAAGTATATGGATTTTGGCTATTAATGAAATGTCTTTGGTGCTATTATGAATAGTCATTCATGACTGTGATACATTGAAGAGACAAAGTGGGACAAAGAAGCATAGTTCCATCATTAATTTTCCACTGAGTTCATTTCATTCAGCTTAATAGTGAGGGGTCTCAAGGCAGGGCTCAGAGACCAGTGAATAAACACGTGCTTCGCCAGACTATACGAGGAGAATGCGATTACATCTGTAGCCTGGTGCAAAGCATCTGTCACAGATGTTCAGCTTGTATTGTTTCCAAATGTGATTCTCACATTAGAGCCCCAACTGTTTATGCCAAATTGTTAGCATAATACATTTATTTACCATGTCTGTTTTACAAAAACAGAAGCGCACCTATTATATGTTTGTGATTTTCATTGTTGTGAATTTATTGCAGCTATAATAGGTTTCTTTTTATGCTCAGTATAAGAACATTTAAAAGCACTATTAAAAAAAATCTTATTCAGCACTTTTATACACCAATAAAATACATTCAGAAAAGGTCTGAGGCTTCTTCTCAACAGCAGGATATGTCCCAGCTCTTACTCAGCATTTCCTTTACTTTTGCATAAACATGTGCAGGAATATAGCTATAGATGCACAACACTTTGCACAACAAAGGAAACATCCGTGGCCTTTGTCCAAATACATTCATTGGCATGAGAAGATGCCATTAATGAGTGCCAAACAAAATAAAAGACATCCAGCATTAATCTGTTCACATCAATACGTTCTAGGGCACTATGGTAAAGCTTCGTTTTTGGCTCCATATCGAGTCCAAAGGGATGCGCACATATACGGTATGTATGTATACGTGTATAAATACATACACCCATATACACGTTTTAAAAGGAAGAAAAGTCTGAGCTAAGGAATAAAACCCTGCTAAACAGCTCAAGAGGCAAGGATGTTCCCACACTGACAAAACCCAAGAAAATGACCGGCAAGGCAGCAGTTGGGTCTTTTGTATGTGACGGTAAGAAAACAAGCTGCCAGCAAGTGCCAATCTCCCAAGTACGGGTACAGTCACCCATAAGATGCAAATAGCACAGCACTACTAAGAGCACATTCTGAAAGCATGCATGTTGCTTTATATAGCAGTGCTCAAGCATTAGCATTCCTCTAACTTGTAATCCCCAGATTGACTCATATCTTTGAATTCCTGAACAGACATGTAATCGCTTCCCGTTTAATGAGGAAGCCGTCCAAGTGTGATGCCAGTTAAATGTGTTCTCCTCCTTTTAAGGAAGCTACACAAGCAGGAAGGATCATAGTATTTCTTTATGAATCAAATTAAGGTACCAAGCTCCCCTAATATGAAATGGTGAGAGACAACACATACAAAGAAATCGAGGACAATACTGGTGATGATTTACACGGTTTCATCAATAACCAATATATTTATACAGTACATTTGATCAGCGTATCATCTCCTCTATAAAATGTATAATTAATAGTGAAACTGTCCTATATAAATCCAGAAACTAGGAATGTTATACAACTGAGAAAGGTGTGTATACTCCTTCATAAACCATATTAAGGTACACAAACAGTAGACTGCTTTAAAGAAGCTTACAGTATATTAGTTAAAATAGTGTGTTATGAAAAAAACATTAAGGACATTCCTTATGTTGATTTAACAGGAAATATATACCATTTACTGCTTTCCAAAAATGTATTTAATTCTGCAGAAATGCATTTTTAGGATGCTATAACACAATACTCCACCTATGCAGTCCATAATGAAGGAGTCCTAAACTTAAAGTACACAGCATGTGATTTCTTAAAGGATTCTGTGGAGTCCGACTCAACCAAAATACTCAGGATTTCATTCCACTATGTCATGAATCCTCTTTTCCGTCTTAAATTGCCCTGAACATAATTCCAACTTGTGTAACCAAGTTCTTGTGTTGTTTTTCATTTTGAAGAAATCCCTTGAGATGGCCAAGTCAATTCACTTCAGGATTTTGAATACCTAAATTCTGTAAAATGCCTCCACATACAGTAATCTTCATTGTGACACACACAAATACTGGATCCTGCTATATCAGCACCCACTGCCCAACCACCACCTTTGGTCTGGGAGTCAAATGTTTATACAGCATGTATACTGAGCATGCATATCTTGGAAGTTAAAGGCAGAAATTTGTTAATGTTTTTCAGGAAGGAAATACACCATCTTAAACTGAATTTACTATCCATTTTTAACTACACAAAGCTACAAGGTATTCAGAATTGTCTACCTTGCAGCAGCAGGCCCACTTTGGGTGGGAAAGTGTCAATGTTGTGCAAGTATGTGTCTGAAGCTCAAGCTCTCAGTGCTCAGCATGTACAGTATCATTACATCAGAGATATTGCCAGGAGTGGGGATTAATTTCCTTTTTAAAGTTTCAGAAAGGCATTACTAATTTAAATGGCAGGGAAAGGCACCTCTCTCACTGTACACATCAATCCCAGGCGTCATTGTGATTTAAACAGAAATGTGTGTTCAAAAATATATAATACCAGCAATGAAAAACCTGGCCAATATGTATTAGCAAAGTGTTTTATTTATTTAAGTGGAAAGTTCTACATTTAAAAAATATGAGTTGTGCAATTTATATTCCACTCGCAGATTAATCTGATTAGTCTTCATACGTTTTCAAGGATTATTTAAAGAATGTAGTTTAATTATTAGAGACGTACAAACAATGCTGTATTGATAGACTGCTGATGCTACAAGCAGTTTCCAAAGGGCACTGACATATCAGTATTTGTACAGAGATTTTTCAACATTGTATGCAGAGTTAATTCACCTCCTATTGACTTGCCTTCATAATGAAATTAAATAACACTTAATGCTAGCAAACAACTTTCAGGATCAACTACACAGTGTAAATGGTAATTGTTCAAGTCAGAGAGCTACATGTAATCACTTATGCACTAGATATGGTCTCACAATGTCAGACCTATTGAACACAAGCATACAGGGTCAGAAGTTACAGTATAATTTACGTAGAAAAAGGTTTCTAAAAATGAAGGCAAAACACAAAAAAGCAATGATATACATGTCATTTTCATGGCAGACGTTTGTAAAAGCATGGAAGTTAGCATATGTCCATTCACTGTATGTCATATCATACAGTCAAATCGGACTCCTGTTTTTCTAGGAAAAGCAGGAGGGCTAGCCATGGAAAAGTTATGTTGTTACTGGAATGACTATGCTAAAACAAACTTATGGAGTAAAAGGGTGTGCAGGACTACATTTTATGCATCTTTCAGTAGCTAAAAGAAACACAATGATGCCTGGGTGAGAGGGAAACCAGTTAGATGCCATTATTATGGATTCAATATTAGAAAGCCTGGGGGAAGATGACCGATACACTGCTATAAGTGTGAGAGCTTGTGCAATGGCTTAGGTACAGGAGGGGTGCATGATAAAACCTTGATGTTACAGCAGAAAAGAGAAATCATCCTTTACAATGAACAGCACAGAGGAAGTAGGCAACTCCTTGCAGCAGGAATGTGTTAGTGGCAGAGAGAGATTAGCACTTCAGAATACTTCATCTTTCTTTCACTCGTCACCAGATCCCACACTAGACAGTGCTGGAGATATTAGCCTTAAAAACTGAGCCTTATGGAGGCCTTCCAGATACATGCATCATTGAAAGCCAAATTACATACTATATAAAAAATACATGTTTAGCCACTGTACAGGATTCAGAAGTCACAGGATAAACAGAACTAAAATGTGTTTATGGATAAATTAAAATGTAAGTCATATTAACACTGCCGTTTTTATAAAATCCCTTGAAGAGCCAAAAAACCCCATAAGAAAATAATCTGAAATTTGAAGAAGTGAATTTTGAAAAACTGTTGTAAACCATTATTAGTAATTGAGAATTTTGTAGCATGCCTTTCTTTTAGAAGCATGGCTTACCTGCACCTAGTGAGGTCTGAATCTGACAGCACGCTTATTCTTTTAAATTGAACTTTGAATTTGAAGTAAAACCACTTATTAAAATTATTTTGCACAACATAGCAAATATATAAAAGATACAAATTATGCAAACGCATCAAAATATTTTAGTGCGGTTTTAAATAGTAATGTACATAATGTACATTTTTTCTCTGTACTTGAAAGTAAGTTCAAAAAGGGCTTCTTTCTACTGTTATAACACAGTACATTCAAAATCTCCTCAGTTTTAGGAATAACTCCTTATCCACCTCCCTCCAGACAGACTCCACTCCCATCTCTGCAGTCACCACACTTCACAAACCAACTTACCTGCAGTACTTGCTACCTATCTCTATAGTCTTTTAAATTATTAATGCACTTGTGCTATTGTAACCGAGTATAGTACAACTATTAATACAGTATTAATATATTATCTCTTCAGACCACAGTTGAGTTCCTCATGACTATAAGTAAGAGAATACTGACAGATGTTAAATGCCCCAGCTGTTAAGTACAATGCGTTTCGTTTTTGGCAGGACATTCTAACGTACTGAGCCCACGTCTGCAGAGACGGGTCTGGAGGTGGAGCCGGATGACATGGCTGCTCGCTCTCCCTGACTCAGAGTCCTCTTGCGCTCCCGCACCAGCGCCTTCTGGTGTCTCTTCATGCGTTCGAGCTGCTCCTCCGCGCTCATTCGGCCTTTCTGATGCTCCCCAGAGTACAGGCGCTCTAAGGCACTCTTTGGTCTTTCCTGCAAGGACTGTGAGTGGAGCAGAAATTAGCAACAACAACAACAACAACAGAAAAACAACAAGGAAAAAGTTTCTAACAGCCCCTGGTAAATTCACGTGTTTACATTTTTCATTAATATACAGTGTAAAAACAGGGGCTGCTTTTCAGGGCCCATGGCAACATTGAAGCAATAATTAATTCACATTGCGCAGAGTCTCACAAGTTCAATTTTCTTCCCCCTCAGTGTCTCATGGTGCGTAACATGATGTGAATCTTACATTAAAAGATTTTAAGGTTTCAAATGGGTTAAAATGGTGTTTGTTATTGCTGCATATAACTATATATTATTTCCTTTATGCACTAATAATTAAACCTTAGCAAATTTAAAATGTTCTTGACTTAAGATCCTAGTTTGATTACAAAGCACAATGACAAAGACTCTATAACTCTGAGATCCAACTACATGTTTCTGGAACGAAAGAAATCTAATGAAGGGTCTTTGTTTTTATATATTAAAATAAGGTAGGATGTCCTCTTTGCTCAGATCAGATCCTTTTGCTTCTTCTATCAAAGGTGAAGCCTGTTGTAAATTTCTCATTCTTCAAGTTGCACTGTTCTTGCAGGGCAGAAACAGACATACCTTTAAACCAGATGGAGAAACTCCTCTTCTAAGGGTAACATAGGAGGAAATGCTTGTGGACTGGTTCAGTCTGGAGGTGGAGCCTGCTAGTCCTAAGGCAAGAGTAATAAAGTCACTGTCCATAATCAATACTGCTTCTTCACATTCACATAAAACCTAATAACCCTGGGATCTGAGATGATTTTTCTTTGCCACACACTAAACACTAAAAAACAGTCTCATCATTATTTCCTGTAACTATTAATTGTGAATATAGTACTAGTTCATTAAATCTACCAGCATAACAATATAATTTATACAGTAAGAAATGAAGGTTCCTCCTACCTCTACTTGGTAAAGTCTGGTATCTGCTGTCAGGATCCTGAGCGCTCATCTGACTGTAGCTACTTCCTCCGCTGAAAAGTTCAGGCTCGCTCATGTACGATCGCAGCTCCACACTCTGACACAGTGGAGGGAAAGTGAAATGCTCCAGTCAATAAAACTCATTTACACCTTCAAAATTGTTCCAGCTCCCTTAAATTCTACTTTTATGGTGCCTGCCTTAATCATGCTGCTTCAAAGCTACTTGCATCTCACACTACATTAAAGAAATCAAAAGCTTAACAATTAATATGAGACAAAATGTCAAACTTTAGGAAAAAAAGTTTGCATTGTGAGAAAGGACACACACCTTATAATCACCATTAACATATTGGCCAATTTCTCTGTCCCTCTTTCTCTCGTCAGACTGGCGTTTGAGACCGCGGACGGACGTGTGTCTGATGACCGAGGCTTCCTTCGGAAGTGGCGGGACAGCAGGCGGTTGGTCATCAGGACTATACAGCTGGGGCAGGGGTGGTCTGGGAGGAGCCTCATCCTCCACCTGGAAAAACAAACACAATGCTCCCAAAAATCACCCTCATATGGGGAAGCACCAGAAACAGCCCTTCTGCTTGAAAAGCTGCAACCCTTCTCTGTTCATGACAAAACTAAAAGGGAATGCAATTTTAAGAGTGCTACACAATCCCTAAAAGAAGCCCTTATTGCTTTGACAGAGGTGTGCAGTTTTCCTTTAAAAGGATTAAATTCTCAAGCACATTTTTCACAACTCCCTCGAATATTCATGTCTTGTTGATTAGTTCTGGAGCACTCATTTATTATCCAGCGGTTTTCCTATTTCTTAATAATGTGGCTTGAAGACTTTTCAAGACTTCTTACCCACTAAAACACATGAGCCAGCACTCTAGAGCCATCGCTCACCTGCTTTGGCACGGACTTGCCCGATGAGTGGGGCTGCTGCAGGAACTGTTGGCTGTACAGCTGTGAATGGTGGGGCGCCCTGGTCTCTGGGGCAGGCTGGACAGGGCTCAGCTGTGGGCTGCGGGTGGGAACTGGCACTCTCTCCAGCGTGGAGACACCGAGGGGCAGAGAAGGCACTGAGGACAAGGACACTGAAGGCACAACTTTCCTCTCTGCAGAAGACAAAGAACTTGCAGGGACAGGTCCAAAAATGCCAATCTTGCTTCCGTTCTTACTGATTAATCAATGAAAAAGATGATCTTTGATGATTAAATTTGGTCATCAAAATGTTATCCAGATCTCTGTTGTTAAAAATGATTTATGAGATGATGCTTCTTTACGAATGCTATGGACACGACAAAGATTTTACTTTGTTTTCCTCAGCACTGAAGAGGGTTTTCAACTAAGATGGCATTATGCGAGGCCCTTACCTAATGTGTATTCTTACACTTAAAGGATTAAAAAAATAAAGAGGACAAGGGAATATAAATTCTCCTCACCTGGATATTTCATAGAAGCAATGGTAACTTTGTAGTTGGCTTTATTGGAGCTTAGTCCAGCCATGACATCCTCGATCCGCCACATATCTTTTTTCGTTTGGGCTTTCTCCTGCTTTAAAGGATAAATATAAATGTTCCCCAAAAAACTGAACATGATCTGAGAATTTGCAGATTATCCATTTGGGACTCCTAGTGCAGACAGACCTAATCACGCTCATTGTGACACATGCCTTTTGCTTTAACAATTAGCTGATTTACTGATGTAGTTGCATGTGTACGTAAAGGTTTTCTTCATTTAAAATTAATTTACTCCTTTGAAAAGAGAAGGTATAAGTAATTTAATAAGACAACATGCTAAAACTCATGAGCCTTGATCTCCAAGATAAAGTCCTTGGGAAAATTCACTACTTCTGTTCAATGACTTGAGACAGGTTTATGAGTATGCAGATGATCATAATACAACCATAATAAAACAGCAATTGTGCTGGAATACTGAAATTAATTATAGACACAGTAAGTGAAAAGTGAAACAAAAGCAATACATTCAAGGCAAAGACAATACAGTTACACAGTGATGAACCATGGGATTTCACTTTATTAAAACACTAAATCTAAAAATTAGAATAAGAATGTGAAAACAGCACTACATTATTAACCTTCTTTAATGGTCTGGGAGTAAAGTAAAGTGAAGAATAAAACTAATTCTATCTCTATGAAACATGGGTTCTGTGTGGATTTGTTTCCACTGAGCTAACAATGTTTAAGATGATGTTTGAGTTATAGATCAGATTATTGACTGGAGAAATTGCTACTAATAGGCACAGTATACTATATACGGTATGTATAATATTCATCTACATTCAACACTAAGTATCAAAACCTTCTTAAAAACCTTGAAAATAATGTGAAACAATTAAAGGTCTGATTTGAAAAGAAAATTAATCCTAAAATTAAGTCTGGGTTTATTTAAGCAAAACTCTTTCCAGATCTGGTAATGTTCCTAAAAATACATTTATTTCATCTGGAGCTATTGTTGCATTTTCACTGTATTATTTACTTCTGCTATACATTGAGTTCAGTTTCAGATTGGTGATTTTAAGGAGAAATTACTACTGGTGAAAAATACAGCTGTATTTGCAATACTGTACTACAATTAAAAAAATAAATAAAATAGCACTCAGAATTAAAACATTTAAAGGCATGGGAATATCTAAAATGTTCCTGGTGGTCTAATTTGAGAGTAAAGCCAACTCTGACCCTAAATTTGGATGTATTAAAATAATCTTTCCTGATTATATTACTGATTATTTGGAGTAGTGGTTGTGTTTTCACTGATATATAAGCATGGTCCAGTTGTAGTTTTTTTAAATTTGTAACAGATTCTCATTTGTGGTTTGCAGATTCCAAAGTCAGGGAAAAAAGCAGAATAGAGATAAAATTCAACCCTTCGTTCAGCACTGAAGCACCAAGTGCTCAACACCAGGTTCAGCATTTTAGAAGAATGAGAAACAGTATTATGAAGACAAACCCATGAAAATGCACAGCAGCATTTCCATTGACTGTAGAAAAGAAGATGCAGGATTAAATTCTTTTTTGGACAAGGTTAGATTAAGAGGAAAAATGAAAGCAGAAAGTCTAGAAATGGAAGAAATAAAAAAGATAGTCTGTTTCTATTAAATGAACGCCCACTTCTCCCCATGCTGTGCTGAGGGATAGTAAATCAAACACCGTCACTACAGGGAGAAAAAAGTCATGCTGATTTTTTTCATCATTCACACCATGATGCTTCAAGAGCTTTGAATCATTCCAGGTTGCACTGTGATTGACTGGTAGGAAGACATTTTATCCAAGCTTTATTAAAATAACATTACCCTTCTCTACAGATAATTAGGGGCAGAAAAATTATCTAAACTAATTAAAGTGTCACGCTATGAAAATGTTACATTTTAGATTATTAAACCAAAGACTTGGAAACAAAATAGTGACATGCATTGCAGAGCAAGTTACACAACAAGAAACCGATCAAGATGCAATAGTTCCTAAACTGGTTTACTGTACGTGCAACCTAGGAGGGCTACAATGTTTCAAAATTGCTCACCTGGACTAGAACACTTCTGCTAATTTGTTCCTGCAGACCGTCTCTGAGCTGCTTTAAATCCAGTTCAAGCCTTTCGTACTCATTCCAGGAATTTTCCATTTCCTATCGGATAGACCAGCAAATGTAAAATGTAAATGTAACAGGGGAAAGAAAAGGGGGCTCAGAAGCTATTTCACAGCAACCCAAACACATTGTAAAAATAAGCAGCTGGAGTTGCGTCTTTAAAATACACCTCATGGCTCTCACTGACAATAGTAAATATCATGACTGTTAGTTAATAGTTACTGCTTAACGTAAATGGTAACTGGAAAACAGCAGTTCCACGTCAAGTATGCACCTCAAAAATTCTTTGAGAAATGTAAAAATGCTTCAGCTATTATAGAAAATGTGGACTTGTGTTAGGCTGTATTGAATTTTGTTTTTACATCAGCAATTTTGTTGATAAGCTCAGGAAAAATTATATTAAAATACTTGGATGACATTTCCATGGATACATTTCTGCGTATTTACAGGTACATTATTTCTGCAGATGCTAGTTTGTTGACCACACCAGGATTTCCAGAAGACAGTCCCTCTTCCTTTTTTGAAGGTCACCCCAGATGCAGGCAAATAGTGAAGACCTACACCATCCACTCACAGATTCTCCTGATTTTTTCCCCACGATGTGTATTTGGTGCAACAAATGAACAAAGTCTTAAAACGTCTTTAAGGAAAAACAACTAGACTGAAATAGCAAATATTTCATGGAAGTGGGAAGTGCAACCACTGTTCCCTGTATTAACTATACTGTATATTTACATACTGTACATATACTTTAATTTATTGTGGTATCTAACACTAGGCATTCAGAAATCAGAAACTGAGAAATTATACTCTGTCCTTCAGCCCGGAGACTGGTTTTCTTCCTGTTGGTAAATCACCAGCAAGATGAGGTGGATTTAAGCTCTTTGGAGCTCACCGTCGACAGTCTGGAGATCTCAGCCCTGATGTGAACCACATCTTCTTGCAGTAGCCTTTGCTGGTAGGCAATCTTTTCTGCATGAGCGGGTTGGTCTCTGTAGTGCTCCATCTGTGTGTGGGACACATCTAGCACCGATTCCAGCTTATCCTGCGAAGGAGGTGTGAACATGATCTGTCAAATCACCTATTATTTGTTATGTAAGAATATGAACGAAAGAAACGGAGTCCTTTCATATACCATAAACCATTCACACATCGGAAAAAAAAAACTCAAGAGAATTTTATTAGGGTCACTGACAACTCTCCCACATCTCTCCCCTCCTCGGAAGAGGACAAGCATGTGGAGTCATAGGAGCAGAACATAAATTATGACAAAGAACAACTTGATTTGGATCACAGTAATCTTTCACAACTTGAATTTTGGATTCATGACATTAGCCCTTTGATTCATGGTGTCCATTAATACATTCAACACTCAAGGAAATGACCATAGGACAGTTGCTAAAGTATTGTTACTACACGTCGTGCAACAATATTGTACATCTCTTCATTGTCTAGGTTATTGTAGTGAGTTTTAAAAACACTAGTAAACATGGATTCTGGACAATATTATCATTCAAAGAACTTAGATTCTAAGGTTACAATGTAAGACCTTATTCAAAGTAATTAAAAAATTATATGTACAGTATTCCAATACCAAAATTAATAAAAGGAGTGTTTCATAAAACACTTTATTGCCAACAAAAAGACTCTTCATTTTAGTTTACATGTAAGAAGACTGGGTATTAACTACATGATGTTCTTTGTCAAAATTACATCTAATCAAAACAATAGTGAGTCAATCCAGTAATTAACACAGTACTACCTTATCTTCCTTCAGAGTTCGGATCTTGGTTTCCAGCTCTTGAAGAATTTTGTCCTGTTCACACAACCTGCTTAACTTTACCTGTAAATGAAACAGTGATGACAGAGTTAGCAAGACCTACACAACCTTGTAGTTTATACAGTACACAGTACACAGTTAATGCAATTATATACTTGGGGTTACCTGCAGGTTTTTTAGGTACTGTAGCCTTTAATTCACCAATTTCTAAAGGCCTGGAACAATTTAACTATACTCATTTAAGCAATATAGATATCAATTGGGACAAAAAATTTGATTTTCTTTTGGTTTTCAGGGCTTGTTTTTCCTTTCCTTAAACCTTTCTTTTTTTGTTTGTTTTTTATTGTTTTTTTGCCTTTCTTGGTTTTTTTTTTTTTTTGCGGTTTTTCATTTTGTTTTCTTAAAAGCAATCCCTATAAAACCAGTAGATATTAAGTAGCAAACAAAATATTCTTACTCTTCATTTGAAAAAAAATGTTAACTTCACTTTAATATAATACCAGTGATAACTGTCAAAGTTTATTGTATCCTGATTTCTTCATAGCAAGCAAAGATTACACATATATTCACACAGGTGTTTAACTCCATATATGATAATAAATATATGGATTGGATAGTTGATTTTTAGATGTCTTCACAGCTAGAACCACTGTCATTTACATAATGTTATACATGTAGATTTCTGACAAAGATACCAAAGTTTTAAATGAAGAGAAACACATTTGAATTACTATATAAAGCAATATACTATACTATTTACAATAGTACATCTCTTATGAATTTTTCCACTTTCTTTAAAACCAATATTCCCTTAAATATCCATGCCAGTTTTATAAAAAATACAGTGTATTATTGTGTTTATTATGTAAATAATTTATTATGTAGACTAATACAAGAAGGTTCTTATAAAATGTTAAAATGAAACAACATTACGATGAAAAGATAGGACTTCCAACTTATTTATCTTTGAAAATAAAAAAAAAACAAAAATAAGGATTACAAAGATCAAACTGAAAAATTGAACAGCTCAAAAAATAAATCCCATTGCATGTTTTTTTCTCTTTAAATTGAAAGCTTGAAATACAAGCACTGGTCAATATCCTCTCAATCTTCTGCTCTTCTGTGTGACTGTTAGATCCTCCCTTATTTTTCAGATACTGCATTATTTTCCCTTCCCCTTATATTATAGTTCAGACTCCTTCCTATTGAAGCAAGTCTTTCCTTAAAGAAAAAGAATAAAACAGCAGTTTATCCATGTGTCTTGCTGGCTTTATCATGCTATCAATTGTAGTCAATTTGTGGGGAATAAAATGGGGAAAGGAAATATTTCCAGTGTATTGCTGTATATTATGTGCTCTTTCTGTGGTGTTATTAACTGAAACTGACAAAGATTTTAATTCATCATATTTTGAGAACAAGCATTTACTGCTAGCTGAATCGTTGCCTCCAAATGACACTTGCTTTACTTACTGTAGGTCAAATAATGAAATTAAGAGGTACTATCAATTACTGGATTCAATTTTTAATGCTTACAGGCCAAAAGTGCACTTAAAAATAAAATCAGTTTTAGACTAAATGGAAGGCGTTTTTATACTTACATCAACATCACTTTCGGCTATTTTAACAGGTTTTGCGGATCTTTCTTTGAGACTATCACGACCCGACACCTGGAGAAGCCAAAAGTACAAGTGCTCAAAGTTATTTGGTTGATTTTTCTTTGTTATCCTGTAGCACCCAAAAGAAAAACAGCATGAAGTCACAAAAATGTATACAGTTTTATGCAAATGTATGTGCAAAGGTTTAGGCACCCCAAAGTTCTGTTGATTTTCTAAGTGAAAAGAAGTTAACAACCTCTGCAGCGAACAAACAAACTTGACATATTTCTGCAAATATTAATACAAAGTTAGTATTTATTTGCTAAATTTAAAAGAGTGAAAAAAATAAAACAGTAAATGTGACATGTGCAAAAGTTTCCAGTTGATCCACTAGTGTTATTTTTTTGTAAGGTCTCAGAACTTAATTGACTCGTTAGGCCTTAATCTAAGTCAGGTGACAAAAATTCCAGAGCTTAATAAATTCTCTGACTCTTCAAACCTCTCAGAGTGTTGTGCTTACACTCAACAACTATGGGCTTCTCTAAGCAGATGACTGAGGATCAGAAAATAAAGATAACTGACTCTTACAAAGAAGAGGAAGGCTATAAAAAGATATCTTAATGCTTCCTGCTTGAAATTTCCACTGTCCAAAATGCCATTAAGAAATGGAAGTTACTGGGAACTGTTGAAGTCAAGACAAGATCTGGAAAACCAAGAAAAATCTCAGATAGAACTGCTCGTAGACTGGTCAGGAATGCAAAGCAAAACACCCAAATCACTGCAAAGGATCTGCAGGAAGGTTTAGCTGGCACAGGAGTAGTGGTGCACTGGTCCACTGTGTAGCGTTGCTTGCACAAACATGATCTGCATGGAAGAATCATCAGAAGGAAACCTTACCTGCGATGTCATGACAAAAGTCAACATCTGAACACACAACACTTAGATAAGCCAGAGGCATTTTGGAACCAAATGGTGTGGTCTGATGAAGTAAAAATTGAACTCTTTGGTTACAATCACCAAAGATACATTTGTAAAAAAAAAAAAGGAGAAACATTTGAAGAACACCTTGCCAACTGTTAAGCACGGGGGTGGATCTATTATGCTTTGGGGTTATGTGGCACAGGAAATATTGTGCGGGTAGAGGAAGAATGGATTCAACAAATCCTGGAAGCTAATGTCCCACAGTCAGTGAAGAAACTGAAGCTGAAAAGAGGTTAGATATTACAACAAGACAATGATTCAAAACATACTTCAAAATCAGCCATGAACTACTTAAAGAAATGAAAGATTAAGGTTTTGGAATGGCCTTCACAGTCTCCAGACTTGAATATTATTGAAAATCTGTGGGTAGATCTCAAACATGCAGTGCATGCAAGACTATTCTAAGAATATCCCTGAACTAGAAGTGTTTCGCACGGAAAAGTGGGAAAAAATTCCTAAAGCAAGAACAAAAAGACTGTTAGCTGGCTATGAGAAAAGTTCGGAAGCTGAGATTTCTGCCAAAGGGGGCGTTACTGACTGATCGGGTGCCCAAACTTTTGCACTGCCATATTTACCATTTTATTTTTTTCAATCTGTTAAATTCAGCAAATAAAAAGTAACTGTGCATTAAAATTTGCAGAAATATGTCATGTTTAAGTTTGTTTGCTGTAGAGGTTGTGTTAACTTCTTTTCACTCAGAAAATCAACAAAACATGTAATTTGGCCAGGGGTGCCCAAACTTTTGCATACAACTGGAAGTTATTGTAAAAAAACATTTTGAAATCAATCTGCTTGCCATCGCCATTTAAGAACGGTTGCACTGAAAACATATTAGCTGCGAGTTTGCCGGGAATGTTAAAAAGGTATGCAATACACAAAATCAAGCAAAAGCCAACAAGAAAAAAAAGCTTTATTTTCTAAAAGCTTTAGCAGATTCTCCTGTGCAAAAAGCACGTAGGAATTTTGTGATCACTCACAAAGAGGCCAAATATCACTAAATATTTCTGTAACAGCTACAGTCACGTCTGCATTAGAGCCTTAGAGTGTTCAAGTCTCCACACAATAGCCAGAACCCTTCTGATAAAGTAATTAACACAGTCAACAGTCTCTGGAGAAAACCCACTCGCTCCGTCTTCTTCAAACACCTTAAGCAAATTAAGAGCTTCATTTTGGGTTATTACAAAATATTTTGTGAAGAATTCCAGTTTTTCTGCATCAACAACAGGTTCAAAATAAACTATTCAGGGCATACATCCGTGTTTTACTCTTGGATATTTCATGGAGACTTGCCATTGAGTTGAAAATTGTTTAATTTTTAAAAAACATCATTACCTGCAAACAAAAAGGCCTATATTTTGATTATAAAGCACATGCACGATGGAACATCCTCAAAGGTTAAAAATAATAATAAAAGAAGAACATCACTGCCACACGTTTGAACATCACCACAGTGTTAAGCACATACAATAGCGAACAACAAGGTTGTATCCACAGCTATGTAACTGTTCTGAAATATGGGCTGACCTTAGACAGGTATGGACAAGAAAAGTATGTGCAAAAGTTTCAAGAAAGCAATGAAATGGTCACACTTTTTATGCACACATCCTTACGTTTAAACTGGATCGTAAACCTTGTGAAGAGTTTTGTAACACATTGTGAACCATGAGGATCAACGGTTCAATATTTTTTATCTGTTCCAAACAAAAATAGAAACATCTAGTTATAACAAAAATGTCCACTAGAAAAGCACACAAAGTATTGTAATTTTCTTCAATTTCACAACAGACAGTTCAGGATATTGAGAACAGTATTTTTCTTATAGAAATTATGTGACAAATCCAAAAACGAGTTTTTAATAATTAGTTCTGGAGCAGTTAAGCACATTAACCACCAGAGGGCCACCTTTACACTTTCCAAAGGCATCTCATTTTCAAAAATCAATGAAAGGACTTTAAAAATCAGGTTAAATAATAACTAACAACTAATAGTATTTTGTTAAATGGGTGAAGAATTTCTGTGTTTACACTTATGACTTAAGATATTTATACTACAGTTTCAAAATGTCATATTGCATTCACGTTCTGTTGAATAAGTTGTGACATGAGAAGACAAAACAAATGCTTCAGCTGGTATTCCAATTTCTGTGGTGCCTGAACTTGAACACCTTTCAGCAACGTATGCAAAGAATTGTACTGGTCTCAGTGTTTTTGTTTTCTGACACGTGATCTAGTATTATTTGCACACATTTAGGTGCTCTTGGAACACAGCATTGCATACAGTATATATACTATAACATCCTACTTGAAAATGCAGAAACATAGGCTCTAACTACACCATATGTTACTGTAAGAGAGAAACTTTCTTCAAAATTAAAACAGAATTGTGTCGACTTCAACCTCCCTACTTGAGCAGCAGCAGCGTTAGTGTGTGTGTGTGAGAGAGAGAGTTAGGAGTGAAGGCACTATAGCTGGAGCCTAGGGGTGAAAAGAAGAAATGAAAAGAGCATGAGAGGAGACCGGCATGAGTCCTCCAGGTCCCACCTTCAAGTCTAGATACTCCAGGTCCTTCTTCAGTTGCATGTAAGTATCATCAGCCTTAAGTAAGGAGTGAAGAAACAAATCAAATCAAAGAAAACAAAGCTGCAGAAACGGGTGTTAAGAGTGCTTTACTTCATTTCACTGTAAAAGTCATCAATGTTGGATTAAAAAGCCTGAAATATTATAGACCGTTAATTCAGGGTGTGTCGTGAAGAAGGCTAGATTTCTCATCTTTTGGATGAGCTTTTAGATTGACGGCACTGTTCTGTATTATAAATAGTATAATTGCATTGACATAATTCATAATTCAAGAAAAAAGCCTATTTGGAAAACCTTTAAAAACATTTAAAGTTTTTTTAAAAATAAGGGGCAAACTCACTAATTCCACTCTTTTCACATTAAATGACAAAAAGAAGATTATATTCATTTAAAAAGAAATGTTTTCCAGTACTATTATATTTATTATAAAAATTAAAAGGTTTAAATATTGAGCAATAACTTGTGCCAGTTACGAAACAAAGTCCTACAAGGTGAAAGCATTTGAGTGTCTCTCAAAACAGAATACCTGCTTTCCTGACATAATGTGATACAGCCATGCACTGACAGATTGACTGGTTGCACTCAGTATCTAAATAGTGAGATATCCAGGCTCATGAATATTACATTCTGAAGTGTGTCTATCTGTGAAGGACTGTGATATACAGTAGTCCCTCAATTGAACTGAGGGTCAATTCAATTGATGCCGTGTCCAAAACAATCAAACAAAAAGCCAAGGTAGTGTTTGGAGCTAGCTATCACAAAGGTATAAGTCACTCAAAAAGATAATTTAACATACGTTTTACTCAATTATCTGTCTTTGCAGGTTTGCATACCACCTAAAACCTTTTGTAATATATGTTATTCTTCTGTTGGAAGACAGGTAATCAAAGAATCAAAAAAGTCAATACTTCAATGCACAGCAAAGTGTATTAAATTCACTCAGACCAGCATTTGCAGAGATGCAGGAAAAAGCCTTGTTCCTTTACTGATTAGATTAAAGTTCAAGAGGTTTAAGACAGCAGGCTTGATTCAGCAGTTTTAAGCAAACAAAAAGTAGCTGTACAAGTGCAAATTGCAAAGGGACAGGGCAGTGCAATGAATTATATACAGGTGTGTATATAATAAAGCCACAGGATAAGCTAGTCTGGAGAAGGAAATGAACTACAGTATGGTTGCTATGCCCATGCTATAGTACGAAAATCATGTCACAGTCTAGGAGCACGGAACAAGCCACAACACGATGCCATCACAGATGTCACAGTAGACGAGTCAATCAAGGCCCTGACCTGGAGAGTTGACTTTGTTGGCCCATTCTGCTGCTGCAGTTGGGCTATAGTGTCATTTCGCACACTGGCCATCTTAGCCTGGTGTCTCCTCAACTGAATGAGGAGCAACGTCAGCTCCTCCAGCTGCAGCCAGTTCAAGATGCCAGAGAAGCACAGAAAGGAGATTTTATTTACATCCCAGGGAGTTTGTTGTTCGGCATTTACATCCACCCTCTTTCTCTTACAGTACATCTCAGCCTTTCCCTGAGGGAGAGGAGGGTGAGAACCACACTCTCGCCTCCTGTCACACCTTGAGAGCAGAGGTGCCAGAGAGCTTGTTCGCACTGCTGCTTCGCTAAGGGTGATGGGTGCCTAACCTGACAAGCGCTTGTGTGAATTCCAGCGCAAGCCACATCTTTTTTTTGACCTCTCACGAGTCTCCAAGGTTGCTCTTCTATAAATTGATCTGCCGTGAATGCACAGTACCTCGGAATGGAATGGCACGAAAGCAGTTTTCCTCCTCCCTCAATCAACTGTCTCAACATACAGTAATTAAAAACTACTTAAAAGACACCATGTTCGTTTGCAGCTCTAAAGAGTAATATCAGGGCCTTTCTGAGGAAATTGTAGCAAAGGATCAGAGGTAACGTTCAGACCACCTTGTATACATAAGCAAAACTGACAACTTTGTCCAATACAAATCAATTCTGTGAATAAAAAGTGCAAAATCACTTAATTCTTAACTGCTTAATTTCTTACCGTTTTCCCATGCAAACTTGGTGCGCTGACTGTATGAGTTATATATCCCATCGGTGGCATTGAGCGTCTTTCAACGTGAGCTGTCTATAAAATGACAAAGATGAGAACAGATCACAGAATCCTGCCATGCCATCTGTTTGATTACAAATCTCATATTTCTGTGACACAATCAATATCTTAAAAAGAAGCATCTTGTTATTTTTTAGGTTAAATAATTAAAAAAAAAGTTCTAAGGTTTAGAGCCCACATTTTAAAGCCTCATTAGAAAATCCTTCTCCACTGCGCTGGGTTTATTTATTTATCTCACCCTTATTTTTAGGATGATTAGCGAAGATTTGTTCTGCTGCTTTATATTGCCAAAAGGCTTTGTTGATTTGACATTTTTACTTTACACAGGGAATTGCTAAAGCAGGACTATTGCCAAGCCTTAAAGGACACAAACAACAAGAGATTTAATTAGTTACACATAAATTATCCCAAACTTGCTTTCTTAAAATAACATTTGTTTGCTAGTAGCAAAAAACGCAACATGAGCCTATCAGATCTATTCCCATATCTGCATTTTTTGCTGCATAATAGATTTATTTAAATTTTAGATCAGAAGACAGTTGCTGACATTTAAAAAGGGCTGCTTATGGGATGGATACTTGCTCATGGCATATTTTATCAGTTCAAAATAACCTACACTTTATTGATAGTACATGGAGGTATATGAAAATCACAAGCAAGAAACTACATTACAAGAAACAGCACATAAGCACACAAAGATAAAGGAGAGGAGGGCATTACAAGCACAAAAACGGCCTTCATAGCTTCAAACTACCCCCTTTAAAACCCATAAAGGCTTGACCGGTGAAGAGCTTTTTACACAAGCTGCATGACAGAAAAGGAAGTGATTTGTCAGGTTCAGTGTTCTTCCCATGACAAAAGCTTCAAAGGATTTGTTACACAACTCTTGTGTATCTTCTCTCAAACATTTTCAGTTTCATTTTATGGGAGGCTTTCCAAATTATTCAGCCAAAGTGATCATTTTTAGCTGATACTGTACATGCTTAAGCCATCTTTTTGACTCAGAACTCCCTCTAGCTTTCATAATACTGAAAAGGCTGAAGGTATATCCCAGACAAATATGATCATCCAAAATGTTTTGTTTTGACAGCTGATGGCATCTATAAAAAGACTAGTTTTCTTCAAAACTACTGTTGAGATTTACCTTTTCACATAAACACAGGCATTGACCTTTTGTATTTTGTCAATGAACCAATGGCTGCCTTCAGCAAACTAATGGACCCCTGTAAAAAACTGGATATTAAAAGCTTTCGTGTCTTTTTGGCTTAGCTTGCAGTAGGGTTTCCTTCCTTTACAGGCTCAGAAAATGATTCAAACATTACCTAATGTGGTTCAAAAGATTTTTTTTTCTTTATACTATTTCCTTTGCCTTTAAATTGTAAAAATGGATAACTAATTACAAGGATTTTCTTCTAAAAAAGCCAATTATTTTACCGATTAATTTAATTTGAGATTCACAGAAGTGAATATCTTTATTAAACTCAGTAATTTTACTGATATTTTAGTGTCAACTTAACAAATAAAAAACAATTTAAGCCCTGTTGCATCATTCACTTAACAGACATCATGACCTGTTCCATCATCACCAACGTGTTGTCTTGACAACGTGTAGAACACAGGTCGACTTAAAAGCTCTCTCGTTCTCAGATACACAGAAAGCAAGAAATCTGGCCTGCAGCTTTCCCAGTCCTCTGGGACATCCTCCACACTCACAAACACACAATGGATATCCTTCTCCAAACTGGATGTATGGGCACAAGTCTAAATTTGAATTCAAAGCTCTTCAATACTGTACATAACTGCATAGACTGTTTTAGGGGATTAATACAAATTTCTGGACAAAATTCCCGAATTTATTCTAACCGACTTGTTCTGAGAATTAGTAACAAAATTAGGGTTATGTGAACAACTTTTAAAGATGCTTTCGCTCCATGACCCCAGCGGGGCCCGGCACTCACCTTGGAGATGTGAGACCGTACCCTGTGGGGGGACACCGGCGCGGGGATTTCCGCAGTCGGCCTCTCGTTGAGGGGCTTGACCGTCACCCGCTCCGCAGGGGTGTGCGGCCTGCGGGGCGACAGGCTCTTGGAGGGCGGCCCGGGCGGCGGGATGTCGGAGGGCGAGGGCGGCACCGAGATGGAGCGGGGCACCTCCAGGGTCATCCTGGGGGCCCCGGAGTCCGGGTAGATGGGAGCCGTGGGGCTGCCGTGCTTGAACTGCTGCCTCTGCTGCCACTCGAACAGCTGCCACACCGTGCCTTCCTTGGAGGCCAGGCGCTCCTCTGTGGACATCCGGAAGTGACTGAGCCGGTCGTGGGCGTACTTGTAATCGCTGGGCAGGTTGCGGGGGGCCGGCGGGGGGCTGCCTGGGGGCTGCCTGGAGCTCTTTGGCAGGGTCTGATAGGTCTCCCCGGCGCTGTGGCGCTGGACGGGAGGGGTCCGCCGAGGCAGAGTCTGCTCAGAGGCCGGGAGGCTGGATTGGAAGAAAAAGGGTAAAAACAGTAAGCCCACTGCGCCCTCGAGTTTCACGCTTTATCTGACTTAAACCAGCAGAGAACCCCCGGGTAGCAACGGCTGATCATTTATACTACATTTTCCTTTCTTATTTTTTTTTAGTTAGGCCAAGAGCAAGTGGTAAAACATGAATGCCTAGTGCTTTACTAAAGCGTTTTATCAGACACCAGCTACAGGAAATTCAAATCTGGGTCCCAAACACAGGGGCTCATCCTGCTCGGGGACGGCAGCTCACAGGTCAACGTCTGTAAATGAGAGTTTCACGTTTACCTAAACCATTCCTCAGAACACCCTGTGAATACTGAGGCTTACTGATACTTTGTTAAAATAACACCACTTAACAGAAGAAGCAGAGATCGTGCTTATTAAGTTAGCGGGCCAATTCAAACAACCGAGCAATGAGATCTGATCCACATAAAAACGTGACCATGATTAGCATAATACTCAACTTTACTCAACTGAGCAATGTTTCAGCTAAGCTCCTAGTTCTTCCTACTTCCTCAGTAGGGTAAAAATGGTCACACAGAAACAATGTAGAGCCTTCATGTACACATTTTCAAATAATTTGTTTTAAAAGGTCAACAAATGTTTAAAATGTCTGTATTTTTTCTTAGCTCGTTACGTTTAACATTTTTCTGTTTTTGTGGGTCTACAACTGCCTAGACATTTACTAAAGGGAATTCTGTTCAGGGCGTTTGACTCAATTAAAATGTTAATGAAATTTACAGTCCCAGTTTAAGATCTGACAGAATCTTAAAACGTATCAAACAAATACCGCTGACAAATCCTAGTACCAGGATTTGAGAACTACTGCTTTTCACTTTGTTGTATTCAATTTGTATCTCTATTTTACTGCCACTAGAGGGTATTGTTTCTTAACATTTAACAGTATTACATTTTATCAAGATATGCAATACATTCATTAATTTCTGTAAATAAATTCCACTGCTCCTTTACAGCACTAAATATTAATCCCCTAAATGAGCTACTTTATAAGGCATATTTCTTGTTTTCTGTGCATAGCACGACAATCTATATTAAATTTAAATGAATATTAAAAGTTATTTCACAGAATTTTGGGCTTAATAGGTTTCCGTTAGTGCTTCTCAGAATTTCAGGATATTTTTACTAAAAGATCCTTTACATATGTTATGTTCATTGTTTGGACACATACAAACTGCAAATAACAAATCACTTGAAAATAACCTGCTACAGAGCTCCAATTCAAGTGATCAAGGCTAAGGAGAGTAGCAGCAGTAAATCAGGGCAGACGTGTGGCAGACCTTCTTGCGTGCACTCAAGAATTAATTGCTCGGCAAAGCACTTAGCAGTTCATGATCTCCAGGAACGTTTCAAATTACAATCCATCAGGCTTTCTATTTCCCTGTTTCTGGGCTTTCTAGAACCCCAATCAATAATTGCATCATTACACGATGAAGAAATTGAGCAGGAATTGGAGGATACCAACAGCTAAGGAACAATGAAGATGAGGACATTCCACAAAATGGCAAGAGGAGACCAGGAAGTCTGATGAAACGGCGTGCAAGAATACTGAGAAAGGACAGAGGTTGACAGTGTCAGAAAGTGTTAATACCAATGGTTATCTTTGCTATATGTTGAAAAGAAAGCAAAGGTATGGAGTATGCACTAACCTCTTGGGGTCTCCTTTCTGTAGTTTCACCCAGTGCTCCACCTGGGCAAGGTTGGTCTTTCTCTGAACCTGCTTTTCTGTGTTTGTCCGCGGGACAAAGCCCCTCTTGTAGACAGTGTTGCCGTTCTGCTCTGGCATTACTGAAGCGGGGGCCAGTCCGTTCCTCTGGACAGGCTGCGCACGAGAACAACCGGCCGGTTCAGGTAACAAGCCATCCATCTCGCCCACCGTGGCTGGGGACTGGACCTTACCCTTGTCCTCCAGGGTGTCCTTGCGGAAACCGTACCTCTCCTCGTCCTCACGCTCCTTGCGGATCTCCTCTCGTTTTTCAAAACCAAATGTCTCATCGGTGGGCCTCCCGGGCCTCTCCGACCCGCGCTGCCCCTCTGGCTGGGGAAAGCTCTTGCTTGAGTTGACGTGGTTGGTCTGGGGTGCTGGCTGTCGCTCTGACCTTTCCGCTTCTCTGTAATGACCAAGGGATCGCTTGTCAAACCAGGCCTATGGCTCTCATCGCATGAGCAAGCCTACTGTCAGTCACGTCCAGTCTCCGAGTTAGTCAGTACCTCAGTCGCTCATCCCAGGTGCTTTCAATCTCAATCCAACAATAAACAAGATTCCTCCCCACTGAAAACGTTTCACTCCAATCAATATATTTTTGATATTTTCCTTTTTTTATAATAAGTTTTCAATATAATTGGAAGTATTTACCTGCCAATTTGGCGTGGTTATCAAAATGGTGAGATCAATAATTATGAAGACCAAAAACACAAAATGCCCTTACTAGACTAAGATAACACAAAAGCTGTTATAGAGCTTCCTTATTTTTCCATATCTGTTCATCTTTCTATATCACCCTGTATCAACCCAGTGAAGCTCAGCAGGTGTGAGCCTGGCCAGTACCTAAAAGTGAGGCTTCCTGGGAAAGCTAGGGCTACTGCTGGAGAGGTGTTTGTTTTATTTTCACGTTATTATTGAGACTTCTATTATACTGGGAATATCCTGATTTCTCCTATACCCGAGTCAAAATGATTAAGTGTCTTTTCCTAACAAACCTTTTGGCACACTGGGTAGCTCAAGATCTGTATAGTGGAGCATGATCAATTACTCTTCAAAATAATTTATGAGGTCATTACTCATTAAAATTCCCCATTCTACCCAAGGAGTAATTTCAGAAATAATCTGACCTGGCATTCCAATATTCATCCATAAATTACAGATGTTTTTTGACATTTCATTTTGAGATGATGCCCATCATGAATACAGTATACTTGATTTACAGTTTATGCCCCAAGAATTTAATCATGGAGCACCAAAGATAGAAATCCGCTTTGAAGGGCACAGATAATAAAAAAACATAACAATCTTTCACAAACAGTTACAAATGCAACGCAACAGCTGTTAAGATACTTAACCTTCATATTGAAGGATTTTTCCTCCTTAATTTTCAATCAACTCATGAGCCCCTCTGGCTCTAATCTTTGAGGTGAATCTCAGTGTCTAATGTCGGCACCACACTACACGGCTTTTCCTGGGATTTTCAGTCGTAGCCTTCATTTACATAATCGTAAGAAATTCACAGCCAGTTGTAGAGAGTCGCAGTGCGCGCCCATTATCGTAAGTTGTGTTGTGTGACACCCCCAGCGCCTCAGTCACAGCGCTCTTAACAGCCCCTACGACTCTCTGCAACTCACTACGCTAAAATCAGACTGGTTTGATTTTCTCGTAGCGAGTCGCAGAGAGTCATGGGGTGGGCGTTTGTGTTTGCGACAGTCAACAGCCAATGAGCGCTCACCTGGAAGTACAATGCATACAATGCAGCTGCAAGAAAAGCAGGAAAGCGAGTGTTTTGGACTGTGCAAACGGAAGTGAGGACTGTCGAACCATGGAGCCAGCAAAGATGTCTGTTTGATGTTTCCTGTTTGTCTACTTTCATAAACAAACTTTATTCTGGTGTGCTCCACATTGATTGGCTGCCAAAATCAGGCAACATCGCGGTACAATATGAGACTTGGAACAGTGATGAAAAGTCGTGAGGGAATCATGTAGTTACCCCCCCTGCGATTCAGTGAGATTCAGCAACTGCAGTCGTTAAATTTGACATGCTCTCCAATTAGAAGTTGTGTCGAGTCCTGTAGTGTGACAAGGACTTAAAGAGGACAGAGTCAACCTCTTTAATTCCATATAAAACAGCATGTGCCAACTTTTCTCCTTCCTTTCTTAATGGGGGGAAAAAAATAAATGTGAAAACAAATGTTAATGCTTTTTAATTTTTTCCTGTTTAGACCCAAACAGCTACATCTGTGTCAGGTCTCCTAAAAGGAATCGTCACAACCTAAAAACATCCTGAGTCACCCACCAAGGTAAAAAGCAAATGAGAACTAAAACAAATCTGAACTAAAGTAAATCTACAAGGCAGGTGCTGCAGAAGTCCCACTGAGCACTGTGATTAATTAAAAATCTTACTCTATTTCTATTTCTGTCTGGGTTCAGGTCTCAGTAATTAGAGCCTACTGTGGTGCTAGATGGCGTGCTAATTTAAAGGAAACAAGAATGGATATTTTCCTGGGAAACCGCTAGATGGTGCACGTTAATTAAGAAACAATATACTATACTATGAGGTAGCTCCTCATCCTGCTGAATAATGCACATCCAGACAAACAATACACATGACTTCTTCAGATGTCTGATGTATTTTAAGCCTTTCCTAGATCCTAACTCATTCAATCTGTTCCAGAACAAGTCTAGATTCTGAGAAATGTCACATAGTGGGCTGAAAACAAACCACAAAACACAATTAAAACAGAGAAATGGAGAGTAAATGGAGTTTGAACAAGGTACAAAGTTGACTATGGTTACGCATTTCAACATTTGTAAATTCTGATTTGCTAAATGCTTTGCTTAATTACCCGTTTTAGCACTGTTGCTTTTCTGTTTTCTTCAGCTTCCCACTAGGTGAAAGTGTAATGCTAACCCTTCCCCCCTCAAAAAAAACTCAACTCCTTTCTTGTCTTTTGCCATAGCTTTACTGCATTGTTTTGTAGCACAGAATCTGAGAAACTGGAGTCAGTTCACAGCTAAATAATCCATGTAGCCAGACCGCAGTCTGCTGCAGTGATCAGATTTCCTGACAATGCACTGCCTCGGCCAGAGAAGCGCTGGACCTGCATTGTAAAGCTGCTGCTCCAGCAGCTATTTCAGACGCCTACAGCAATTAGTTTGTATCGATTCATTCTAAAGCCATCTGGTTAAGCATGTAATCAGATAATATTTCTGCTGCATGTAAATAATACCAAGATACAGCATACACAATAATAAACAGGTGACACCATTAGAACAAGAATGTAAGGTTGTGAACTTGCAGGTTTCAAATATTTGTGTTTTAAATATTTTATTTACAGTGTAAGGCCGTTCCACTAGATGGCATCGCACAACTTATCTTAAAAAATATGGGGAAAAAAAAGAAGAGCGAGAGAGAAAGGGTACATGGTGATGAGTACTGTAAATCACACACACTGAAGCCAATCAAGTTTCTAAGATGCACGATGAATTAAAACAGTTTTATGGTGTATATACTGTAGCTGCAATGGTTGGCCTTTCACTACTCCTGTTAAACCATCTTGTTGGCCCACTCCTAACTTCATCACAGTCAAATCACACAAATTAAAGTTCATCCTTTCAGTAAAAAGCATATTTTTTTCAATAATTTCTCAACTTATTTTATTACCCTTTAACATTTTGTCAATCTCTTCAATCAGTTTCACTCCCTTACATATCTCAATTTTTGGAAGAGAGGAGATTACTAGAGCAGAAAATTAGCATGAAAGTGCGTGGAGGTATGTAAGGATAGGGTCAGAAAAAGACTGCAATTGGACATGTGATTGTGTTCTCAGTTCCCATTTCAGTATTTTATCCCAAAACAGATACCTTTGAAAATTCTTACATTATTATTTTCTAAAGTACAACGTAAAAACTTGATTGAGCAAACAAATCATAAAAGATAAAGCCTTTAACTAACCTTTTCAACGTGTGAGTCTGCATTAGTGCCGCCTGGTTCATGGCTCTCATCCAGCCATTCATATCTTCCTGTGTATCTGCACTGAAGTAATATGTTCGCATCCCACAATGCTCTGCCTGGGAGCCGATGACAGAGCTCTTATTATAAATGTAAGAACGCATTCCTGTATGGGTAGCCTGCAACAAAACAGAATTACATTAGTGTAAAGTGGCAGCATTTCTTTGCTGAAAAAAATGTACACTAAAATTAATATAAAGTTAGAAGTAATGTTTAATCTTTTAATCATTCTTTTAAAGGTTTTACAAAAGCCTTCTTCCAAGCTTTGTTTTATCACAAAACAAATTACGTAAATGCCCCCAGGTGAAATCACTTTCTATGTTTCACTTTTTATGCAACTTACTTTAAATCCTTGCTTATATCTTTTAATAATTTAATCTAAAAAAAAACTAATGCCTTTACAGCTCAGAAATTGACATGTTTTGTACTTTAAATGCCAGGTTTGGTTGTTGTGTATTCATGCCACATAAAGTTTTGATTTTTTGTTAATTCCCCATATTTGCATTAATTTTATCTTTACAAAGTTTTGCAGAAAACCTGCTGCTAGTATCTCTTTATTAAAAAAATGGCTGAGCAAGAACCCTCCTTAATTCAAACTGGTCTTATTTATAAAACGGTAAATTGTGCATTTTTGCACAAGATTACAAAATATTAATAAGTCCTACTTTACAGCTTTCTATAGCAGCTCTGAATGCTGCAAATCTACAAATTCTTATGTAATACACTGTCCATATGTGGCACTCAGAAATCAAAACGGTCTCAAGATGTTTTGACTAAAGCTTCTTACCTCATGTCTTCATGTGTCAAGTTTGAAACAACTGGCTCTATACTAAAAAGGTATTCCCACTTTGCCACCCCGATCTCTCCCAACTAAGCAGCCTCAGTACAACTAATCAGACCCACTCCTGAAAGCGACAGGAAGTAACAGCCATGGTTTCATCAAAGGCCAGGTCAGCATTTTTACCATTCTACTGCTACAATAAAAGTGGTATCTAACCTCAGAATAGAAATCCAGTGCCACATTTCCATTTTTTAAAGAAAGTTCACCATGACATTAATCCACGTTTAAAAAAAAAATTAGCAACAGAATAAGTTCTATAAATTCTATTGCTTGAACTACAGTTTTATAAAGTACAGTCTATGAACGTTTTACTGATCTGAAAAAGAGTGTAGATTGTAGATTGAACAGATGCAGATATGCAAAACAACAAAACAAATGCCAATTTGTCTGTTGTCATGAGAAAGGATATTTTTCATTATTTTTTAAGTACAACCCCACCTTCTCTTCATACATATGCTACTACGGATGAAAAATTAATTCTTAGTGATACTTGGATTTCCCAAATACAATGTATGTTTTGATAGCGCAAAGTCGACTTAATCTAGTGCTGTGGTTCCAGCATGATCTCAACAGCTTCCCTTTGGAAATTGCTGAGCTTGACATCTAAAGCAAACACCCAGAGCTGACCAGACAGGCCATAGAGGAAATGAATTCTGTGAAACTCTGGATGCCTTGGCTGATGTTTAAACCAGATCTCGCACCTCCAAACTAAATTTCAACACCCTACTCTTCAACAATCTTGAAACATAACAGATTAGAGGAAACAAATGCATCTCTGATTGTGTAAAGGCATAATCCCTTTGTTAAGGACAGAACCTGTTATTTAGTTTCTGTGAAATAACCGGAGTGAATAAAATGACTAACAATAGATGAACTTTTCACCTCACTGTTCTACTTTAGGGAACTTGTGATATTAGAGTAGCATATTTCTGTTTTAGATGACAAAGCTACAGTATTCAGCTAAAGGACACTGAAGCAGAGAGGTGATGGTCTAAGTTTTACCAGCTCTGATAAGACACTGGTGCTCCTTAAGCAAGGTCAGCACTAAATGAAAAGAAGGGGAAATCTCACATTCAAAAAGTTTCTGCCCTGATCTGCACATAATTCACATTACATCATCCACCAGGAGTACCGCGTTAACTATTCTCCAAATTCTACAAAGTAATTTAAAAGCAGAAACTGCAATTTGATTTATACTTTCCCACATCCCATGCCAAAAATGAGCAACGCAGGAGTTTACCTATTGCTGGAGGGCTTTTCATTTAATGAGGGTTTCAATGCATGTTAGTTATGAGTGAACTATGAGCATAGCTTCCTAGGTGTTCCAGAAATAAAAAAAATGCATAATTTCTTTTCTTAATTTCACATGAAATATGAACAAAAAACAAAGACTGTGATAAAAAAATAAAATCAAGAATCTTTACAGTGCAAAAAATAATGAAAGAAAAAGAAAATACCTATTCATGCATGGAGGTGCCTGTATTTTTCAGGAAGGCTTTCCTGGAAGAATGGGCTCTCTCCCGCAGTGCACAAGAGCAGCGGACCCAGAGGGTCAAAGGGAGGGAACAGACCAATGGGAACAAGAGAAGGACAAAGAGTTGAGCAAACAGAGAAGAGGTTGGTTATAAGCCTGCTTGTAAACAAAGTCGGCTCTCTGTGGCTCTACTTGCGGCTCTAACGCTGCGAGTGTTAGTGAGGTGAACAACACACACAAGAGCAACACCAAGCTGGGATGACAGAAAAAACTGAACTTTGGGAAAGGGGGGGAAAAACATAAGGAAATGGGGGTGCTGGCTGGGGAAGCTCTTGATTTGTTTTGGTTTGCGGTGGGGGGGGGAGTTGGGAGTTAAAGTATTAGTCTATTCATGCAGGAAGTGAAATTCAAGATTTCTTATTTCATCTTAGTAACAGAATATCGCTTGAAATCTAACTACATGCTGTCCTTGTTCTCCCTCTTTTCCACTCTCTCTCAGCAAGCAGGCTGCTCAGGAAGCCATTTCCCTCTTTAAGGGATTAGGAAATAAAAACTGCTAACAGTGATTCTGTTGCCAGTTTAAGCCCATCCACTGAAAATCACGACAGAAATTTAAATGTTAAACCCTTATAAACAATTTCCAGTCAAAGCAGTTCCAGCTCATAAAATGCGATTTTAAATCTAATTTCAGAAAGGCCCAAGCAAAACAAACAGAGCTGAAAACTCTGACAAGAGGTAAATAATATCTATCCTGGTGAAACGTCAGAATGCATAAAAACAGTGACATCCTGAGTGCCTGCAATAAAATTCAGTTGTTTTAGAAAAGCAAAAATGTGTATTGTACCAATGAGCTTTGGATGCTCTAAATAATGTGACATGTACTGTAGTTCAGGAGGGTATTATAAAAGACTGAAAATAACAATATTGTTTGTGGCTAATGGACAAGTTGCAAGGAATTCAACAGAATTTAGTAAGAATCAAATGTAAGTTTTTTTATTATAGAAACAAAGTTTTACCTCGATAAAACCTAAACCAAAGAACTCAGGACAATATAATATGTATCCAAGATTCTGCAATTACCACTAAATACTGCTCAGTTTATAATGTACAATATTTCTGTCCAAAATAACTGCAGTTTGTATCTCTACCTTTCTAAAGCAGAGCTCTTCTGTCTAGGTATAGCAAGCATGAGGATCTTGAACATTATGTGTTTAGTGGCATATAGTGGACAGCACTTTTGTGGAATGAAGAACTAAAACAAATCTGAACCATCACAACCAAAACCACAGCTGTTCCAGATGATGCCTCACACTGAATCATGCACGGACACATGCATACTGGAGATCTGTTAAAAAGGCCTGTTTTAGATATTTAAAAAACAGCTGGCCAAGGAAGGTCGGCTTTCTGGTAGAGTCTAATTACTAACAGACAAATTCAATGAATCTTTGACACATTCGTTTTCAAAATACGAACATTCAGGGTGCCTATCTGATCGCTTTCAGCATTCAACAGCGAATCTGGGGTCATCAGTGAAAATGACCCATCTGGTTCATAGCAAGTTGTTGCCTCACAGGATGTGTAACTGACAGACTGACAGGCACAGGGGGAGTCCAGACTCCATTACAGATCTGGGTAAATGTCTGAGCAGCTGCAAAAAATACGAATTTGTGCCACAGATCTCAACCAATGGCTTACACAGCACTTACACAGCCTGAAAACACACTTGTTAATATAATGATACATTTGAGTTACAGCATTATTAAATGCTTCTTAAATGACTTTGGGGGCAGAAGAATCAGACAAAATGACCAACTGCATGTCAAGCCTAACAATTCTTATTGTGTATTCCTTCACTCATGATAACCTTTTAGCATAATAGAAACTTCAAGATATGAGCATACAGAAAGCGCCACCTTATGTTATAGCAACCAAAGCTTAGCTGTCCAGGAATTAGCCAGTCAAAGCCAAGCAATTACTGCAAAATTAATTAAACTGCAGCCATCTGTCCGATGAAACAAAGAAAAAAATGCATAATTTCTAAACAGCAAAAATACGCTTATCATCTGGTATAATCATTTATACATTAAAAAGAATAATGTTCTGATGACCACTTAAATCAACTGATTTAGCTTGTTTTTGAGTATGATCAAAAGCTAGAAAATATCTACAGTCAGAGCTTTACTTTTTTTACAAAACGAAAAATATGAATGGAAGTACTTCTGATGGGTTTCTCAAATATACTACAAAATAATTGTGCACAAAGCAGGAAAAACACGTTTGTCATTCTTTGAAATTCAGTTTTAAGTTTTGCATTTCTATTAATCCAGCACCTCTAAATCCATTTCCAGCTGTTCTCACAATATAAACAATAAATCACATTTACAACACAGGAATCCATGTCAGTCTAGAAAAGAGACAAAGACAATATTATTGTCATAAAAGGGTCAATTTAAGTACCTCAAATGTATTTAAAGGGTAAATGTTTTTGGAGGAATATTAACTTTCTAACAGCTTTGTATATATATATCATTTAAAGAGCTTTTTGCTTTTTTTATTCAGGCAAATTCGATTTTATGTTCAATAGCTCTTCTCTTTGTTGTGGACACTAATGGTCTAATGGAGTTGAGGTGAAAGTGAGGACCACTTAATGATACATCTAATTGTAAAGTGACACTTCAGCTGGAAACACAATTGGAATTCTGTCAGATTTGTGGTTCCACTGTCCTGTTCAATCCATTAATTGTGACAATGATAAATACAGCACCGTGACACTTCACATATAGCACACACTTCACAATCAACACACCGCAGAAAAAAACTGGACGTTTTAAGTCGGTGCACATGTAGTCTTTTTTCCCCCAACACAGTCAATACATTATGAACTAGAACAGCCAGTCTATATTTCAGAGCTGAAAAAAATCAAAAGCAAATGTCAATTATTTGTGACGAGTCTGGATGTTGAAGCTCCGGTGAAGATGAACATCAGGTGGCGTCAAGTGGCCAGCTCCACCAATTTCAGACCAGTTAGGGTTGCCAAAATCCAATTGCCCGAATGAGGAACAAGAGTTGAATCATGTTGTACACATAAAAAAACACATTCAATGTAAACTACTTACAGCTTTGACCACTCCTCCTCTGTGAATTGCTATAACCATTGGAACATATTTCTTCATGGATTCTCAAGCTTGTTAACAGTTCTTCTCGTGATAAACACCATTAAATCCAATACCAATACCGGGGGGGTAGTTATCTTTATCTCCCCAATATTAAACTTGGCACAATTAAGTACAGGCAATTCTCGATTTACATGGCCCATCCATTTCTGAAAAATGCTGTGTAAATCAAAAACTCATAGTTGCAAACAAATTCCCCACACGAAAACATGTAAATAACTCCCAAATAAAAAGTCACATTTATATAAGATACTTGTATAATTGCATTAAAGGTCATTTTAAACTAAATGTTTAAGTTTAACAATTTCATGACAGTTGTTAGTGGTGGTCAGGATCTAGAAGTGATCTAGAAATAGTCACATGTCCAATCGTGCATTTTGAATGCACAACGATCTTTGGTCTATTTAGTCTCACTGAGCCTTTTAAATTCCATATTTCAAATTTACATTTCAAATATATAACCTTGCTTAGGATTTTAGATTTATTTTGGGATGGAATAACCAAAGCAGACTGCCCAGCTGTTTGTGTGTCCCTCAACCAATACTATTTATCCCCCGGCAAATATGATCACAAACACTCCGTCCAGTTGCATGTTTCTGACTATAGCCAAGCATGTTAAAGCGAGAACTAATCTGTTCTAAACTAAGATTTTTGAGGTGTGTTAAATTAAAAACAAATTAGGAGCCTGTAAATCGAGAAATACCCGTACTGTTAAATCTTTTTCACTCTGCAAGGCTGTCTCCATTTTCTGAACCAGCCCTCTCCTCATCTTTAATGATTAATCTCCTCAGAAAAACTGCCATCTGAAGGCTTGACTCTGAGCAAGGCAAGCCAAATTGCGCTCAATGTTGTTTTGTTTTCTGGCATCATTAGCCAACCACACATGAGTGCCACCTAGTGCTTATTTGCAAATAATGTCTTGAAAGGAAAAATAAGGGTAACTGGAGAATGGCAGGTTCGCCGGTCATGGGTGGATACAGTGTTTTTAGGACATGTGAACATGGCATCCGACATGGGAGAAACGATTCTTAAAACTTAAATTGATATGGGACTGTTGGCAACCCTAAAACCAGCAAGGCTAGGTCAACACCTCTACCGTAACAGAAATGTTTTACGTGAATTTTAGACATATAATCGCTCCTAGGGGTTAAAAAAACACGCAGGGCATATTAAGAACCATACCTTGAATGCATATTTGCGGCTGATATGGTCTTCCGGTTCCACTGGAGAAACCACGTAGCTGGGCAAAGGAATGCTGCCAAGGACAGCTTCTTCTCTACTGTCTGCGTGCAATGAAAAATGATGCATCATCCCCCCCCAAATCATTTATCCCAAATCAGCCTCCCAGTGAAGCCGTGATATCGCAGCACAGTCAGGGGGTTTCACATAACAAAATAAATCACTTTCTTTGCTTGGGCATTGTGTGCACACGCCAGAGGGGTAGATTAAAGTGTAATTGGTTAAAAATAATTCAAGGTTCTTCCAAGGGGACATTCCACAGATGGTGCCAGCACTTTTATCTCTGTGCTGGGGTTAGAAGAGCACAATGGCAGCCGGAAGAGCTGAACAGTGAAAACGCAATCGCCCCTTCACTTAATGCTGCACTCTGTAACACACTTCAAACTGTGGCATGTCATGAAAATCCTCACATACCATCTCAGTGAGGTAATAAAGGCTGTCAGGTAGGGACCTTCAGATGGAATAATTTACACTACTTGTGGGAAAGCAGATTAATCACAGTCAGGGACTAATTAGGATATCTAATATTACAACACCTCTAATGTACATGTTACCTTATTTTTTTGCTTTCTGTGATACATAAATCCATATTGAACATCATACTGCATACTGTAGCATTCAAAAGCATATATTTCAGCAGCCTGAAGAAATTTAAACAATAACATCATTTAAATCACTAATGATCATATCTGCTTAATAATATGTGCATTTTGGTCCAAGATTTCATTTTACTTAGTGACCCCAAGAAGAAGAAACTCATTGAATAAACCAAACTGGAAGAATGTACTTCAGTGCACTTCACCTTAGCTATAACTTAATAGGAAGAATTGATGTCCAGAAATACAGACAAGATATAATGTACAAACAAGATAGCTTCGCAAAATCTAAAAAGATATCACCCCAAATACACCAGTAATTAACATTTTTACATAGTGGATGCTGAAATATACCCATAATTCCTTCACTCATCAGTTAAATCAATTTTGACTCTCACAAAATAAACTTCAATAAAGGCACTGTGCCACTCACCTTTATAATAAAACAAGCAGTAATCAGCCAACACAAACCATTTTCGTTTCCATAGCCTCATTCCAGAGCTGTCCTGTAAGTAGAAACAACAACAGCTTTTTAATTACAACCATTAGCCTGGGAATAGCGATTTCTGTAAGGAAAGAAAATTAAAAATCAGACACCCAACAGGTCGCTATAACCCCCCCCCAACTATAATTGAAACTTGCCAGTTTTCATTTTTTTATTTTACTGCGGACATCTCTATATTGGAGGCCCAGCTGGGAATTTATTATTAAGCCTGCTTCCATTATTCAAATTTCATTAGTGCTCTGCAGTGTTGTACACGCTACTATGTAAGCAATCATTTGTACATGTTGAATTACTGAAGAGTCTGCACGCCATACTGTAAAATGTAGAAACCTCGTTAATTAAAAATAAGAACTGTCAGAGTTAATGCTATACACGCCATATATAGCATTAACTATAAATGCAAGAATAAGACATAAGAATAAAGTCTTAGGACAACTAAAACCAGGTGGCTGTACTATAAAAATAAAAAAGCCCCTGCTTCTTCTCAGTCAAAACAGAAAACTGATGTGGAAATATTTTTCAGGATTCAGTTACATCTAATTAAAGGTAACCAAAAAAGGTCAGGCCTTTTTTATTTGAAAATGTGAACCAAGACAAGATAATTCTTACTTATGAGCTCAGTAGATGTACATGGATATCTTCGGAGGTCTAAGCAGAGTGCTGTGTGTGTGCACATTGACTACAAAGGCTCACACCTGAAGAAAGCTGTGTGAAACACTGCGCTTTTTCTTTTGTCTTTTCAGTCTTTTTGGTTTACAGCTAATACACACAATGTTGCTGGCAGAAAATCTCTGCCTGCCCATTAAAGTTCAAGAACCATTAATCTTCACATGGGCTCTGCGGGAGGATGAGACCACATCTTATCGTAAGGTCTTCATCAGTCATACCTGTTTATAAAGCCAGCCTCTCACCACAACAGGCACATTAGGATTCCTCTTGATGGCATGGTCTCTTTTTCCAAAGCTATGGACCTTATTACTGGATTTAGAGCCCTGGAATACATAATATGAAAATATATTTGAATTGGTTTGTTTATTTGATGCCCATTAATAACATCTGTTTACCAGGTGGTCTGACCATTTAAAACCATCTCGCAAATAAATCCAAGTGACAAACAAAATCATTATAACATGAACAACAAGAAACATACATTCTGAAGTAATGCAAAGTGAATATTTTGTTGGTGAATCTTGTACTTTTTTACTGTTTCTGGAGACTTCTATAAACCCCCCCCCGTTTTTTTTCAATTGGCCCTTTTCCTTCCTTTTAAAAAAAACACATTGAAAAACACATTTCCCTTAATTGATTAAATTGTTTATTTTTAAATTATACGAGATTAACGTCATGTACAGTAGTTTGTTCTGTTGGAGTCCTGGCATAAGATCAATGTGACAGGAAATACTGTGTTAGGATGACTATATGACCTGAGTTAATAAATGAAACCTCAACAAAATACGAACGTGAGCCCAAACAGGTCTGGATCCTACTTTCAATACTGTATAATTATTAATACACACAGATGGAGGGGAAGAAACATTTTTGTGGTTAAGGACATTTTCATCTTTCATCTCTTGCATTCTTTTCTGCAGATCCTTGATAAAAGTGTAAAATGCGAAATCTGAGGAAGCCTTCCATGAAAATGTGACAGAAAAGTCACACACACTAATTATAAGGAATGAGACTAATGAAGTATATGCATTCTTCTGTAATCAGTACATCAGCTGTGTTTGGGTGCATTGTCAGGAACATTTTACCAGTTAATTAACACTACTATGCTTGTACTAAATGAGGTACAGCTTTAAAACCTATGCAAACTCACAAGTGACTCACAAATTCTTCCTACATCAGCAGGAGAGAAATCTATCGCACTTTTTAGCAGCGAACTGGAACTTAGCCAATGATCTATAGATGGAAACTATTATACTAATTTATTTCACTTACATAAATGATTCTCTCTTTACTGAAAGCTGCAGTGGAACCAAATTTTCATTGAGATTTTACAAGGTATTAGTCCTACTTATCTTGCTGACAGGATTTTATTATAAACCCAGTGTCAGTAGTTATCTTAGTAAGATATGTTCTTGTAAGACCTTAAGTTTGCTTTCAGGGTGAAAAAACAATGTAACAGTACAGATTGCGCTTAAAACAATTTTATCTGAAATCATTCCAGTTTCCAGAAAAAATAATTTAGAACACCTTGTTTGCTTCCACAGGCTAATTAGATGTAAAGTGTAGCTCAATTATTATTATTAATTCCCAAAACAGAAAGTTCTCCAAAAATGTTTCTTGTTTAACATTAGCATAACAATAGCTGCTAACAAAAGAAGAAAAATCTTCAGAATAAGGACCGTATACAAAATGGCAAAACAAAAGTTGTAATGAAAGAACATCAAATGATGTACCTGCTCATAAATACAAAAGTGACAATGATCCTCATAGTTTTACTCTTTTTTGCAACACTGGTTTAATGTTCTGCTGTTCAAAATTAGAATTCTAAAAAAGATTAAGGATTGTCTTGACTATAGGAATTAATGTCAATAAGGGATTCTGAACTTTAAACTGTGCAGCAAATTAGTGTTTCTTTAGCCAGACAACTGGTGTTTAAATCTATGTAATCCATAGATTAGGATTACGTTCACAAGGTAATAGCTCAGGTTTAAGGGTACACACATTTCTGTAATGAGAGACCCATAATTATGTAGAATGTATGAAGCTATAAATCATATGCTTTTCATCTCCTGCAGTCAGCAGAATAATTCTATCATCATGTGTGAAATCAAATTTTGCAAAACCAAACATAAAAACTTTATGGAAGCAATGAGTATTGATTAACAGCCTCAACAGGAACAACTCTGCATTTTAAGAAAGGCATTTCCTGTGGTATTAAGTAGTTCAATATGCTGCCCTTGATTTATTTTGAGTTGTCTCTGTACATTATACTGTAGCTCTCCAAAGTTGACAAACATAAAATGACAGTAATATTTAATCAAAGTCAAGGGACACCTCCTTATTGGATAACATACGGCTACTCTAAAGCATTGGTGCAATCTGTTCTCGAAAACGCTCAAAGGATGCTGATGCTGTAATGTCACTCATAAAAGCAGCATTTGCTGCACACTGTACCTCGCTCAATAAGGAGCAGGGTGCACTTGAATACCGCTGTGTGTCAACACCTTTATGAATGTGTGTGTGGGAGGACAGGGAGATGACTATGAACAAGACATTCATGGCTATCGCCCAAGCTGCTCACGGGATTTGTAGCACTACCTACACCTGGGAGATCACTCGAATCCAGAAAGTGCGAGATGGCATTTCAGCAGCCAAGGGCTGGCAGGAGATTAAGTGCAGTGGCCTGCCGTGGCAGTCGCTCAGGGTGAGAACGGGGCAGAGACGGGTGTGCGGCATATATGTGCACTGTTAGCATCTCACAGGCCGGTCTCGTAACTCATCACGACTGGGGATGGAGTGGAGCTGGGGTGTGTCAAAACACGAGGGCTGTGGAAAACCCCCAGGCCATGATGTGCAAATAAGGGGCATGTCAGAAGGCTATTAACACTGCCAAACAATTCATCCAGCCATTCCCAACAGGATTAAAAGGTGCTTGTAGTTGTTCTAAAGATTTAAATATTGTTCTAAAAAGTTCTATATAATAAGATATAGATAATAAGAGAAAAAGAAGGTTTAGGTTGTGCAAAAGTGAAAAATGAATGACATCTACATGTCATAGATAATTATGAACCTGTATAAGTGTTCTAATTATCTTCAACCTTGTTTCTCCATTAAAAAGTAATGTGCTTCCTTAATTAAAAAATGTTTAATTCTAGGAACCCTCTTTCTCCCCACTTTAGGCTACTGGGATAGAGTGCGTTTTAAAACTTCAAAACTCAAATGGCACCTTTTCCAAGTGAGTGGACATTAAATTATCTGTCTCCACAACCTGAGAAGTGCAGGAAAGGACCATTAAGGGGGCAGGAATTTTATCTGGGGGAGAAATTATATTTTTCCTTTGCTGTTTTGTATATTGCTATATTACTGCAATATTAAATATATATATATATTTATGTGATAAAGATTTAATGGTTCACTTTTTTAATTTGGAGTTAATGCTGTCAAGGGTTATACAGCACATTTCATTAGAGGTTAGAAAATTAATTAAATTCATATTACTGATATTGAAACATATTGCATTTGCCCCTCCACTAAATGAGTCAATTTAATTCAAAATGTTCTTTATTGTGTTGGTCCTATTTACAAACCTCTGAAACAAAGTACTAGTATTAGGTCTTGCAATACTAGTACCATTCAATTGTCCTTACAAATGAAGATTTAAAGACATCCAACATTGAAAATGTAAGAATTAAATCTTGCAAGCTGTCTATCACACCATATTGAGGCAAAATATGAAACCGAGCCCAGGAAAGTCCTCTTGTTCCTTTTTAACTCTGAAAACTATGCACAAAGCAAACAGCGTACTTACCTTTGACCCTGAGGTGGTGTCAACAGTGGATGATGTGACAGCAGTTGATGACTCGCTGACCATACTTGAAGGTCTTTGACTTGACTGTTGCTTGGACATGTGTAAATTTGGCCTATGGAAACATATTTTTCAGATTACAGAATGCAGTCATCCCTATGTTAACTGGAGAAACATTTTCTTGTTACACAATCTTCTGTTGCTTGTGTTTCATTAATGGCAAACTGTGATCACTAAATGTACTAACAGCCCTGGTCTGATGTGACGTCCAGGAACTCGTACTAAGGAAAATTCCTAGATCAGAATAAAACAGGAAGCTTTGTCCTTATCTACAATATGAATGTGAGCCCCACATATCAGCAGCATATCATAAATCAAAATCAAAAATCATTTTTTGTCATAAATCAAAACTATCCTTTATAAGTTTATAACAGTGTAGAAAATATTATGAGATTAGTAGTTTTTAGTGAAACTTGCTTAACCTTAAAAATCCTGTCAGTCAGTCAAATGAAGGTAGATTCATCATGACCCCCATTTTTACACACTATCTCCAGAGATAAAAGAATAAATACTCAGCAGCTTTGTCAGAGGTAATGGTTTTATGTCTTTTCTATTTGCTATGGTTTTACAGCATACTTTCAGACACATTTTTCATCAACTCATGGGTTTTTTCACCTTCAGCACTGGTTACACAAGGAACTTCCGAACAGCGCACACACCAACAAATGTGTTTGCGTGGTATAGGCCAGAAAAACACAGTCTGGACGTTTAATAGTTTCCTCCTCTAGTAAGACTAAAGCGCCACTTTGGAAGGTCAATCCAGGAACGTATTTGAATAATTCCAGATTCCATTAACCCTGGTTTAACTAACCAAAAAAATTATAAACAAAAAACACCCAACTTACAAAATTATTGAAATAAACAAAATCTTAACACAGAGTATAAATATACATAAAATTAATTCATTCATTAAAAGCCAATTCATGAAATTGGTAATAAACAGAAAGAAGAAATACATAATATTTCAATAAAGAATATAGGTATACAAGATATACAAGGACTACTGCTTACAGACAGTTATTCAAATAGCTGCACATACTATAAAATTACAAAAAGACCAATACTCAGTTTATAAATGGATTATTTCAAATTGGCAGTGAATAGGATCTAAGGATCTAAAGAGCAGGAAATCCAAATGTGGATTGGTATAAGTATGAATCTAGTGAAAATGAATGTAATTAAAGATTAATGACATGGACAACAAAAATCTCAAAGACTGCTCTAATAAATGTTACCTATAGCAAATGTCTACTGCATGAGCCACAAAGAAAACCCTTCAGGATTATTGCAGGATAGAATGGATGACATTCAATCTGTATTGGACACACCACCACTTCATGAGATGAGAGAATAACTTGACCCTAAGGAAGAGTGCTATTTTTCTTCATGACAGCTATGAGTTACTTTGAGCGAAAGTATGAAAAAATCCCCATTGGAAGGTACCGTTATCAAAACTAATAATGAAAAACTCAAACTCTTGAAAAAAAAAAATTGAGGCGCAATCTGTAACACAATCTGTCTACCTATAGCACCATGTGCTGTATTGCTTTACAATCTGTCATATTTGTGAATTACAAATTAAAAACAGTCTTCAGACATAGTAAGAGTTGTCAAAAGGTAAATGGTTCAGTGACAATTGTAGATCTCATACTGACAATTGTCTCACTATTGAGTTTCAGTTGAGTTGGTCCAATGACTCATTCTCTCAGTTCACACCTCTTTTGGGAGATGAATGAACTCTGAACTTTCTGGTGACATACTGTAATGCATGCTATTGCACAATAGATACTTTCAATTAAATACATTAACGTGTCTGAATGTAAATTAAAATAAAACAAACAGGTCTCTGAAAGTGCTCCCAGTTTCCTAATCATCAACTCATCTCTTTCACAGCGCATCTGATCTTGTTAATAATCTCAGAAGAGGTAGACTCATACACTTGATTCAATGCTGCAAGCACCACTTGTAACAAGCAAAACTTAGTAATAAATTTCCTATCCCAATTTGTCTTGAGATCTGCCTGTCACAGAACGCCCACAAGCACACCTACTTAAAGTAATAATTCTAAATACCTGTCACAAAACAAGTACTCCATTTTTGAATGAACTGAAGCACAGTCCTTGGTTCCTCTGTAAGAGGTTTGTAAGAAACAAGCCTGCCACAACAATCAAAGCTTTCCGTGTAAAAGCAATAATTTTAAAATTAAATTGAAGTGGTGAAAAATGTGTTGTTGTTTTTTTACAGAAGGTACAGTAAATGTTACATCTTAATAAACTGCAGTCACTAAAACTCAGGAATAGTTCATATTTTTCACCAGTATGGAATATTTATTATACAACTTTATTTATTTTGACAGAAAATGTTTATTTCTGTTCTAGAACAGCATTTTTACATGATATGTAAGCCCAGTGACTTCAACATTCCTAGAGGCTGACACATGCTCTGCAAGCCTCCATCTCTATAATTGAGCAAATAAGGCTGATATTGAGGTAAACAGAGCCTTCCCAGAAATCAATTCAGCAACACTTGGAAAGCCTCATCATGGCTCGATACAATTCTGAAAAAGAGGTAGACATTTTCATGGCCAGGAGTGTGTTCTGTATCAGGGAACATTAAACCAACTGATATTAACAGGAGCATTGTTCTCTGTAAGTAGTAAAATGTTTTTTCCTGTAGAACATTAGGTGTTCCTGTGAAGTACCGGATGGAGTAAAATACCCTTTGAGCCTTGTTTAGTGAAATTCCAGCTGTTTGAATACAGGGAAAAGCCACAAATAACAATGGAGCCTCACATTAGCCCAAGACTCTTTGACAAATCTATAACTCGATGCAAAATAAGGTCTGGAAGACCCGGGTGAAAGTTATCTTTCAATTTATTTTTTAATGTCTTATCTATTTTGAAAGTCCCCCAAAAAGAACATCAAATAATTCATACATGAATAGTTTTCTGGAAAGATTAAGACAAATGCGCTAGACCACATTAACATATTTTCTGGTGTTAATGTATAGATTATATATAATAAATGATTCTAATATGTTTTATTCTTTTTTCTCAATTATTTCTTCAGTAATCATTTTGAAGTCTTTCCTAATAGGTGTTTTCCCAGGAAGAGGGAAAGACCTAATGCATCAGGTAGACACTGATGTGAAATTGTAGGCACTGTACCAACTAGGGCAGCACCTGTGCTTGGATAGAAGGCTTATTGTGTTATATCCGTCACAGCAGTCTAGAGCCTTATACTGTATGAAAGCCCAGAGTAGAAGGCATGACTACACCATAATCTCATCACAGGGCCAATTGAGCCTCAGCAGGTAACCTCCCCTCGTCTTTGGAAGGTGAGTGGAAAGCAAGAGAACCCAGAGAAATCCCACGGGCCCACATGGGAGAACCTGCAGATAAATGCCACACCCCAGCTCATAATGGAGCCAAAGATCCCAGTTCTGTCAGGCAACAATGCTAACCCACCCCTCCATATGTCACTGTCACACAATTTGTACATCTCTGAACGTACAAGGACAATTCTCTTGCAAAGGTTGTTTAAAAAGCTGCAAACTTTCAGAAAATCAGTGATGGCAAAAATTGTTCAGGCAGTTTTTTTGGACTGCTAAGCATTCCATATAAAAAGTGCTGAGATAAATGTAATTCACGATAAGAAAAGGGACTGTAAAACATTGTTCTTTTCTGACAGGAAAATAACTCAGAAGACTGCAGCCTTTTTCCCTTTCTAGGTATTTATCGAACATCCCACATTTGTTCTAAAAGGCAGAGAGCTCTGGCAGGTTTATATCTTCTGATGTCTACCTCCTGGCACAGAAAAATACTAAAGCAGAATTATCACCTCATCATTGTCAGACAGGCTGGTGTGAGCAGATAACTACCACATGAATCTTCAAACAGGACATCCTTTGTGGTGGCACAAGGAAGAGGCACCGTTTAATGCAGTAGGAACATTGAGGATAAAAATTGAGACAGAAAATACAACCAACCGAGGGCTGCAATTACTCTTGTTCTCTGAGAATTAAGTCATTGCTTAGCAGCTAGGACCTTCGAAATCATGTTGTCAGATCTAACAAAAACAAAAAAAAACTGCTCCCTGGCCTTTGGATGAGCAAACTAAGTCAACTAGGTAAACAAAAAACATTCTTTCCTACCAACATTTCCAAAAGATAAGAGTGATTTTCACTTGCACAAATTCCTTTGATTCACTATTTCCAGTAGACTTATGTGACTAAAAATTTCCAGCAAATACACAGCACAAGATTAGCTGGAATGTCATATAAACGAAAATGAAATTATTCTAAATAGCCTAATAGAAATAGAAATAGCCTAACATAAATCTAATTATCTGTTATTGATACTGATACTCTTTTTTTCTTTTTGCTAGCAAGTGAGGTTTAAATATTTTAACTCCTTGGTGGTTGTTATGCATCAGAAAAGATTGCAGCTTTACCATTCTTTTCACATTGCATGACATTTTTGCTAATCAAGTGAACCTTTATTTTCTTATACAGAAAGGCATTTCTTTAAGCAGCAGTATTCTGACTCATTAACAAAAAATAAAGGCAAATGTATAATCTAATTCAAGGTCAAACTGTTCCATTTAAAAACAATGGTTTCCTTAATCAGATGCATCTTACCTATAAACTCTAAATTAAAATCCAAACTGCCTTGACAATGAAACGTACTGCACTGTTTGTTTTTCTTTGATAGTAAGCTATAGCAAGTCAAGCTCAATTCTTCTGAGTTCAACATAAATCACAGAGCTGTACAAGCCAGAAGCCTACTTTCCCATTATGTCTCTAGGTCCCAGGTGTTTGAAATGTACACTCTTGCTGCCATAGTAACGATAAGCATTGAGGGAGCCAGCTATCTATGGAAGGAGGGCTCATTTCAATTGCCTGTGCAATTGTGTGGGTTTTCTTGGAGATCATCGGTTACTGCAGCTGTTAAAGCAATTTCCAAAACAAGGTGTATGTGTGTGTAGTGGAAAGGGGACAGAAGCTGATCAATTTAAAAATAGGACCTGACGACAGCCACTAGTAACCTGAAACTGTTGCAAAAGTCCTTAGAGTTTAGCTACTTATGTGCCTGCAAACTGTGAACATCGAAGACCTTAAAAGCCAACCACCTCCAGTAGCATTAATCAAGGACAGGATTTCCTGTGGATTGTGAAGGGCTGTACTGTACTGACTTTATTTCTTTCAGTAAGAATCCTTGCTTTATGCAACTTAGTCATTTAATTACAGGGTTTCTTTCCACTGAGTCTGTGTGTCACTTTCAGGTTAGTAAACTACCCTCAATTTGCTTTAAGTCCTGTCAGAGTGCAAAGGGTTTGTGTCACATTAGCTACAGCTAATAGCCAAAAGGTACTTTGCCATTAATGAGCGTAATCAATTAAGACCCACCAGTATTATCATGGCTATCCTTCCCAATGAAGAATGGGCTTGATCACATTCTGTGATATGATGCTATTTATGCAGGAGTGTTTCAGTTCTACCCTGCAGCAGTTACAGCTTAACTAATTATTTTCTAAATCCACCAAATTTTAGATTTTTCGAAGGAACGTGTTCAGAGAATAATAATAATTACACAGTCCAAATCTTCAAGGTTTTAATAATGTATTTATTTGCTTCTGGTCCTCGCATTCCATTTAATGTTTTTCTTTGCCAGCAAAAACAAGAGGGATCAACTCAAATCTATGTATGACTTTTGGTTTTTCTGGTTTCAAATAGCTATACTGTACTTGGAATTAATACATTTGGAAAGTATTTACAACACTAGTTTTATTTGCTTTTTGCTCTCAGTTTACAGAAAGGTGAAATATAATGTTTTATCTTTTTATATTTGCTGGGAAATGGGTTATAATTTTTTTCCACAATTTTTCAAACAGCTTCAGATAATCAACAGTCAAGATGAAGTACGATTCGGATTGCATAAATGTTTAAATTTCAATGGACTATTGCAATTTTGAGTTAAAAAGCTAAAAACTATTTATATTTACATAAAAATACACAACTATGCATTACATTTACATTACACAATTACATTTTCTGTGCATTTAATACACTCCCCGTCTTGCAGTTAAATAAACTCCTTTTAAAAGGTATGCTTTGTGTTCACACGAATTCCCTACAATGTGTAGAAGAACAAAGAAATAAGAAGTGGTTTTCAGAAAGCGGTCTGAAAAATATTGTACATTGAAATGTTACAGCTTTGAAGGCCTAATCTTCCTCTGGGTGTTCCATCAGCCTCCTGTGGCTTTGTGCAAAGTTATGAACAAAGGGAGACAAGATGTGAGGAGATCGAGCAGAACTCTGTTACAAAGATGCATCCCTGAGCATGTTTGAACACAGCAATGAATCATTCCCATTGTGGCAAGCAGAAGATCTACAAGCCTCTAACAAGCCTGTACATCAGTAATTTTCACAGAGCCTCCAGTTCCTATCAGTATTCCTTTATAGCTTAAACTGTGCTGCTCTGGGAGTATAAATGTTGATCGTAGAGTAGGGTTCAAAAGCCCTCTTTGTTGAGCTTGAGGGCACTGAAGGCTTTCATCAGTATGTTCATCTCCCCTCTTGGAGCAAACTTTCCTTCATGGAGCTGTTCGTGGCAGCTGCTGGCAATTTAGCCTGAAAGCTGGAAGCCAGAGAGAGGGACAAGCTAACCCGTATCCCCAGAGAAATTTGTTCATCAATACCCCTCACCCACACTCCCTCCTCTCCCCAGGGCTTGTGCCAGATGGCCACAGCTGCACTCTGGAGAACTTACAGCCCCACTGGATTAGTGAAATACTATTTTTATCTTCAAAAGGAAATAACCGCCGTGGGAGAGGCTACACGAGTTTTAACTACAGAAATAAAGAGACACTCCTTAAATCGATTTTAGAAAATGCTCCTACTACACTGTTAAAGACCAAGTACTCAAGACCTCATTTTGACATCTCTACCAAAGCCTATAGCACATATCACCATACTGGGGCTTTAGGCTGGACATTCTGGACCAGAACAAAGAGCGACATCTACTGGGTTACGAGCTCCACCTGCAGTAGCGATCTTTCCTTAGAGGTTTCCCATTCCAGTACTGCCCACATCCATTCTTTGCCATCTGTTATCTGACAGGTGCAGGCGACAACAACAGTATCACCGCTGTCTGACCAACAGATTTTTTGGGTGAATTATTTTTTCCCCCCCATGAGTATAGCAAACCAGAAACACTCCACAAAGCCCACAAAACCTCTCAAGAATAAATCTGTGTTTATCGGGCCGGTCACTTAATTTTTTTTATTACATCTGTTTTGTCCCAAATATATTTCAATTCCAAGAAAACACTCAAACGTTTCCTTCTAGTATGGATTTGAAAGAAACACTGCAAAAGGTGTTTGGGTGAACTATAGTGAAGAAAAGTCTCTCAAAGTAATGTCTTAAAAGGTTAAATCATGAAGAAATGCCTAAAAAGTCAAAGTAGTGAACCTGCATTGGAATACTAAATTACAGTAGCAATTAAACCTAACAATTAACTTTAAACTTTAAGTACACACAAAACTATGCTCGCAGTGCCACTAGTATTGGAAACAGTTTAGTTCCCGTAGTTTTTACCAACAGCCTATAGATGTTATTCACAGTGACAGTTTGGATATTTCATGATCACAATAATCCATGCACTCAATTAACTTTCCCAAAAGTGAAATACGACCTAAATTAATGGTTCAGTTCCTAAATTCATGAATAAATCCACACTCATTAAAAATTGAAGGGTTTTATCTTTATTCATGTCTACATTCGACTTGTTGGAAAGCTGCCTCTTCAAGCTGCTTTGGCAGGTTTTGTTGTTTCACCTAGGTGATAAAATATTGTTCAAATACCCTTTGTGTCACAGACCAAATGTTCGACAATCATTGTGCTGCAACTGAAAGCAGTTTGATCAGTGACCGTAATGAAAAAAAGCACTCACTGTTCCTCTATGACGAAGTCAAGGTTTTCAGGGGATATCTGCCCCGTTACAGGGTGTCGGAAGGTGGTTGTTCTCTGGTTATGGCTGAAAGGGAGAGAAAAGAAGAACATTAGGGCATTTCACTCAGCTCTGAGCTCCTATCTCTGCATTTACCACTGCATAAAAAAACATTCTTCAGCAACACACCAAGTTTTCTAAGACTTTCCCACAAGTGTGTTGAATCTGTCAGAGTCTAGCAGTACTGTCGATCAGCCAACAGAGCTCATATTGCTTCACACAAACTGTACTGCACAGCACAAACCCAAGCCAGCCAAGGAAGGCTTATTGATTTTGATTGCACCAGGTCCTTTATTGCCTTAACGTGGAAATTAACCAATTTCACATTCACCAGAACAAGAAAAAATAAAAGCCTTTTTTTTAAGATTTAAAGTAAGAAAAAAACATCTTATTACCTATGCAAAGATTCTTACACTTAACAAGAGACACTAGAATTCACACATGAACTAGATAAATTGTATGTGATAAATAGCACACTGGAACATTTCAAGGTCAGTACAAATTACACCATTGACCAGAGTTGCATTTTACTTTGCAACCTGAGCAGAAAGACTGATACATTTAAACATCATTCAGTATAACTCCAGTACAAAATGTACATGCTGTCTTTCATAATACACTCAGACATACTTTTGTCAGCCATCCAGACTTCACCGGATATAATATTTTATATAACTGAAATATGCCTCTGGTATTCTCTTCACCATTGCAAATCTAGAAAACATTACTTTCAGGTAAACCTTTAAAAGCATGAACACATCCGAATATTTGGACTTGTCTTTTTCTTTTAAAAAAAAATATGAAATACTGCTGCATCTTTGTTCACAAAAAAAAACCACTTGATTGTACAGTACATGGTTCATGTCCTTGCTTTCCTTGGAGGTAGAAAGCCATTGTATTCCGAGTATGAATGATCTTCTCTCCTTCCACGGAAACTCCAGAAGAACTCTTCACTTGAGCTTTTTATCCGTCACACTTCTAAGCGTCTTTCATGCAAATGTGTATCAACTAGGATTTGGTTCAGTGGACTGTAAGACAGTTCCTTTCATAAACAGTGTGTTCCTTCTTTCAGGTAGACATCAGCAATATAATGAATCTCAAAGCTGGAGTACACTGAGCATTATGGTATAAGAATAACAGAAAAAGAGAAAAATAAGAGGTTACCAAATTCAAATACAGGAATGTATTTGAGATGTTAAGGCTTCATATAATTTGTCTTATATCAAACAAATCAACATGTCTGAAGAATTACTCTCAACTGGACATTTAATTAAAAACAAGGGTACCATTATACCGAAAGGTTTTCTTGCAAATGTTCAAATTATTGGTACAATATACAGCCGAATACTTACCACAATTAAACGTAGTTACTGGGATGATTTTCCCCCCCACAATTTGTATGTTTGGTTTGCTGTGATGTGTATTTATTTAGTATTGTATCTCACTTCAAATGTTTCTTTTGGTCTAACCGCAACAACCACAGTTTATACAGAATAAAGCCAAAGATTCAAGAAAGAATTTATTTTCAAGTTTAATATCTCCAGGAATAAAGAAAATAAGTTACAAAAAGTAGAAACAAACAAAAAAAGTCTAGGTTTCCTGCCTGCTATGCAAAATTTGAATCCAAATTGACATCCAAACTCAAATTAGTTTAAATTTATTTTTCTTTACTCTGCTCATGGTTATTGAAAGCAGCAAGACACTGTAGTGTCTTTCTACATTTTTGAACCAGAACTGGTGTCAGAACTGAGCTCTTCTCATTAAATAAACATTATATATTTGTATAACCCAAAATATCCCCTAACATTTTAATGCAGAAAACCCTGTAGTACTACTCATGCTAATCCAGATTATGTTATTTTCTCTCCCCTAGTGTCAACTGACAGTATATAAATACAGCTAAGTGGTATTCAATAAATATCAATAATCCTAACCAGTTCAGGTACAACTAATTCAATTCACAAGAGTGAGAGTCATTTAAATGCCTTACATGAAACTGTAAACAAGCTCAAATTCTACTATGCGTGGTGCGTGTTGAAGAGGACTAACATTGTTGTTAGTTGTTTGTTAGCCCTCAGTATATTATTCATTGGGGTGAAAGTCATGAAACAAAACAATATAATGGAATAACTTTATACTATCTGTAAAATATAGTGAATATATAAGAAAAAAACAATACACAACATTTCTGATGTGCTACGGTCAAGCAAAATTACACAAGACGTGTTTTCTGAATGTTACTGTGTGCTTAATTTTAAGACCATGCATACACAAAGCCACGAACTTTAAAACCTACACCATGGCCACATTGTGAATAATGTTTATTAGCGGTCAGGTGGATATATAGCTTTGAGGTCCTTAAAAGTTTGAACCAAATCTGTTAATTTCACATTACGTTGAAGTAAAAGAAAAACTTTGAAAACTGACAAAATACAAAAGTATCTGCCACAAAGGTCTTTTTAAAATAAGGTACAGCATTTACCATACCATCCACAAGCAAGGAACGTGGATAAACACATTACAATACCAGTGATTAGACACTGGTTGGTTAAGAAACAAATCTTTAAAATCTAATTTTGTCCCCAGTGAAATTTTCAAACCACAATAGCCAAAGGCTATTCAAAAAGAATTTAATGAAGTACAGAATTTTCTAGGGACCACTGGTTGAGAAGTAAACAACAATTATGATGGAGTCAAGGAACATTTAGTGGTTTACAGTGAAAAGGCCTAAATTTTGCTAGCTCATTCATATTCTACGTTGATAGTGCTTTCCAGAAATTTAACGACCAGCTGTGCTGTTGCCATCTACTGTACCTGCTCTGTGGTGGCATTAAATTGAAGTATTTACTTTGGTACTACAAATTCTCCTCCTTTGCTACTCTGAGAATTTTGACAAGGAGCCTTTTAAATGATGAATTCTAAAACATTTGTTTCTCTCCCCCACCCTAACAGTATGGTGTTGACTTCTTTACAAAAGAGAAAAGATTTCAGAACATGTTTGTATAAAATATGCCAGAACACACATCACTTAACACTGTAATGTTATTCACAGATTGCAATCATTTCAATTATCAGTCACTGATACTTTTTAAAACCCCTTAAAAATCGTTAAATCACACACATCTAATACTACTACCTCTACCTACTGGATTAAATTACAGTTTCCAAGTTTCCAATCTAGAAACAATATTATTTACAATATTAGATCATCATTGTAAACTGCAAGAGCGTTAGATCAACAGCTGCTAGGCCTACATCTGCTTGAGCTTTGACTCTAATAGAGTACCAATGCCACAGACTACATTACAGTTACACAATGGTTTAGTCTTTCCCTGCTCAATTAAGAATCTGCATTCTTTTGCCCCTTTGTCTACTTAAAATCACTTCTGATTCACTTGTCATGGAATTTACTACTGAACTGTGTCAAGACCGTTCACATGGTGGGGGCTGGGGTAAGCAGTACATTAGTCTTGTGTTTTGCATCTCTGTCTTGGTCAGGAGAAACGGCAAATACAGAATGATAACTTGTCTAAAATTACAATGGAAAAGATAAAAATGCAATTCCACTTGACAAGACAATCTGCATCGAAGTAATAAACAAAAGTATACAAAAAAGGGAATTGCATTCAGCTTCATTTTTAAAATGAGTCAAGTGTCTTGCCCATGTACAACAGCAGTGTGCCATATATGATTTGAAACCATGACCTTCTGGTATGGAGGCAGGTTTCCTAACCATTACTCTACACCACTAACAGGAGTTAATAATGTTCTAGTATGAACATTACTGCATACAATAGACATATACACAGGACAATGCAGAAAGAATAGCCCCAAAGAAGACAAGCTGATAAAGTATCAGTGATCTGTCAATACTGGTCTTCTGCAATACTGCTCCGTTAATAAAGTATCTTGGATGCCTGTTAACTGCATCCTAATGCTCAGCTGTTTCAGACTAGTATTACAAATTACCTGCCCCCAGGTTAACCACACCCTTTCAGAGTCTCAGTCAGTTTCTGAACAATTCTGAAAGAGCCATGTCTGCCCTGCAGTTACTAGCCATGGTTTAAATCTTCCTGAAAGGGACACAATAGTTAAAGGTTACATAAATGTCATCCTCAGTTCCAAGACTCTACGCACATGTACTGTAGGACCACTGCACCTCATGACCAGCAGGCAACTTAAACAAAACTGCATAACCGTAATCCATTCTCACACTGCTGGCTTTCAAAAGAAACTGCCATGAATCAATTAGAATTATTTCTGCTAAACACTTCAAAATCAACTTTGAAAAGGCTAACAAAACAGGCTGCAGCTGATTCCTCATCATCTTCTCAAATTTAGATATTTACTGAGACAATACCAAAGTAACAGGATGTTTAGAAGGGCATAAGACAGTTACGTTTTCTTAAAACTGGAAAGCTTCCATTATATCCCAGGCGACACAGAGTGATTGTAGTCCACACAGTCTGAGCCTTTTCTAGCTTTTAGCTACCTGAAACGAGGTTGTTTCACAATTCTTTACAACTGTTTGGTGTGCAGGTGAAAACAGTCAATGGTCACTGCTATCTAAAGACTGAAATTCATTTTAACTATTGTGCAGAATTAACCCAGAGCTAACAGCACTAGGATGCAGCTCTTTAAATTTGTGCATAAAGTAAATCAGAATTTAAAAGGTTTATTCTTTATCTGTTTAAATACATCATATGAAAAGAGACCGTAGGATTCAGAAAAAATGAAGTAAACATTATTTCCATTTAAAGACAGATATTTTCTCAGCAATTTTGCACTGCTTGTGGTTAACTTCCGCTTCAGCTGTAAAGCTTTAAACATCTAAATCAACAAAAGCAAATGCCAACTAATTTCATTCTTCTAATTGAATACAGCGTTTTTAGCACTCAAATTTAATTTGACCACAGCAAAGTGTTTTTTCAGCATGTTTAGTTATGGCACATGACAAAAATTGGAGCAAAGGGAGGCTTTTTAGCAGTTGAACAGAGAAGCAGTCATCACTGATAATTGCTCATTAT